GATCAGTAATTATGATCATAAAGTTTGTGGATCAGTCTGAGTTCCTTTGGATGACAACTCAGGAGACATCTGTGTGCCCGCAATGTACGGGCCGTGGAGCTGCTTTCCCTGTGGTTGCTGCTAGTGGAAAACCCATAATGGCCTTTAATTGGGACTTTAATTGTGTGTGGTGGAGCAAAAGCATCGACTACAAAACTGGTGGTATTTGAGTGCCTGCATGCGTCTTTTGTGTAAGTATATGTGTCGCTCACCAAATCCTCTTCCTCTGTTGACCTACGGATATCTTCAGTTGGAATCAGAGCCACTAGTGCCGTGTCAAATCATATGCTTCATGATCTACATGATATTAGCATTGTTTTGCCTACAGGGAAGATGGTAGTTGGTGAGTCGAGCTCAATAAGGACACACATGGTATTTGTGCTGAAACAAAGATGCTTTTGGTGTAAGGCGTTTTTTAAGGCCTCACTTTCAAATAGCTCTATATTTACGCCATCCATCCATGAACTTTTGATGTGTCAAGCAGCAGCAGCAGCTAAGAAATCACTGGAAATCACTGGGAAAAGTACTAGGGATGGATGATGTTGTGTGATGATTTGCTGTGAGGAATGTTTCAGCTGAAACCTTTCTTGATGACATATGAGACATTGTAATTTCCCCCTAGAACATGTATAGCTACAGTAAGTATTTATGATTCTTTTGGCAACATTGCAGAGAGATGCTCTCTGAACACTCCGAAGTCTTATCATCGTATATGTTACGTTAACAAGCCTGCTATCCAACATTGACTAGATAGGACTGGGGGGCATGTCAAAGAAAAAAAACAAGGGAGAGAAAGGCTGTAGGGGAAGAGTAGTAGAAATGGGGTGGAGAAAAAGGTGGCAGGGCATGTGTTGAACACACAGAGAAGCAGCAAAAGAACAAGAGGCGTAGTGCAGAGAGGAGGATGAAGGAGGGAGATGAAACAGGACGGGTTGTGCCTGTCATGATTATTCTGGCACCAGTGGGAACATTTGGATGAGATGGAAAACAAGACGCCATCTTGTGTTCCATTCATGTCTGCAGCGCCTTGGCCTCTGTTCCCTATACATACGCACATTCACACAAACGCACACTGGCAGAGCGAGGCAGGAGCTTGTGGTTCCAGTCCAGTGACAGCGGCCTGTAGTCAGGGTGGCGACGCTTCAGGAGTAGCTCCTTGTATTGGAGAAGCATGTTTGTGTTGGCCCTGAATTAATAACTTTTCATTTAGCGCGGAAATGACAGGAATAGTAATTAAGGAAATGGAATGATTTTATTGGCCATGATGTTTATATTAAGTTCCAGATGTGAAGCAGCTGCTTGCGCAGCAAGAGGCCCAGCCCTCCATGTTCTATAATCTAGAGGAACTGCTATTAAGAGCAAGATAACAGTGCCAGTTAAATGTATATCAGTGTGTACAAACAACATAGTATCTCATTCACAGCATGTAGCAAACTGAACTAATATAATGTCCGATTTGATTAATGGGCGATGTCATGAAGCACCATGAGGTCTGCTCTGTATTTATAAATGTGCCCCTAAAGTGCAATTTATTTGCAGATATAATGTTACACTATTTCAGGCCTGATTTGCCTGACTGGAAAAGTTAATATTGAGGAGTGACAGTTCAGCATTTTTGTGTGGCCCCAACACATGTGAGATCCACATTGTGCTGCACTAAAGTTCAGTACCCCTTAAATGGCAATGACAGCATTGCTTAGAGCCTCACGTTGCCTGTCACAAAGCCAGTTTGGATTTCAAATTTAGATCAAGCCAATCACTAGTGTAACTTATGATGAGCACTAGAACATGAATAAACAGAAAGACTCCTTTGCATTTGCCTTCACCAAGCTATTATTAAGCTGTATTTGACTTCCTCTTGACTGGTTTCATCTGTAATGTAAGTTCTGTGTAGCTGTTCAATTATTTGAAGCTCCATTAACTGTTGCTGAAATGGAAGCTACTAAACCGTACCTTGTGTTAATACATGACATGAACATCAAATATGAAGTTACAATTGTTACTACATAAGTTCTTCTTCTAATCAGCTTTCTGTGCAAGCAAAACGTGTTGGAGCTTCCAGGCCAGTGAGTGAATCCACCCTGAGGGGAGTTTGGTTAACAAATGAGAATACATGAGAACTGTAAAGGGTGTGTAGACGACATAAACAAAGAGATGAACAACTGTTGAAGAAAAAAAACACATCCATAAGACACACTGTAAACGCTCATGCTCATTTGGTATTGATGTCTTGAAATTACAAAGTCATATACACAACTCTGAAAGTCTCTCTTCCTGTTCTGCACGCTGCTGTTGTAAATTTGGATTGACTACAGAGGAAATGCTCCTTTGCTTCATTCTCTTTTTTTCCCGTTACTTTTCTGTTTCTCTCTCTTACTCATTTGAGGGTCATTTATTATGAAGATGTTTGCTCTTTTGCATGGCAATAGTAGAGCTCTGCCCATTACTGTAGCCAATGATGTTTTGTTCTGTTGTGATGTGCTCCCATCTGGTTTCCAGTGAAAATGCATCACTCCATTAACATTGCCTGTGATCTAGAGGATGCTTTAATCTAAGACTATAAACTCCACTTAATTACATCCTCCAAAAGAGCTCTATTAGTATAATGCAATCAAACAGGGAGCACATCCATTTTGGCAAGTCACACATGCTGAAATGGCTCTTGAAAGTGTTTACTTTCGTCTTCTGATCAGATCATAGAATCATATCTGGAGGTCCTAGGTTGTGTTCCAAGGTCCTAGTTGATACTTTCATTTCGAATTTTCAATTCAATTTCTTTGCAGCAAAAACCACCATTACAATTACGTTTAGGGGAGTCTAAACAGACTCTCTGTGTGGTACACTTATGACTTTATGCTTGACCTTTCATGCCTCTCATTATATATCCTCCAGTCATATTCATAATTGCTGTCTGTGTTCATCGTACCAGTATCCATTAGTCTAGCAGTATTTTTTGATGAATTTCAACTTCAAAGGAAGCAAGATGGCCGGGTTTAAAATTATACACAAAGACATTACTGTAAAATACAAGATGCCTGGCAATTACTTTTTCCACGGTGCCATGATAAAAAAGATCTTAAATGCACAGAACTGATGCAGCATTACAGCAAATAAGCAAAAAGCTCCATCTATTCTCATGACTGGGGAAGGCCACGGGCTGATGGAGGGACTTTTTTTTTGCTTGTGTATGACAGCATCTCATCTTACATAGTGCTAACATCATGGGACCGTAGGGTGTCCTTATCATCAGTAGTTGTCATTATTTGCAGAACTGTTCCACTTGTTGTCAGTACCTATACAATAGTATACTAGTTACTATACTAACTGTAAAAAACTTAAATTAATAGATTTTATTTGCTTACTGAACTCACCCTGCCAATGTTTTTGGACAGGCGTTTATTTGGGACAGGCCTTTAATTCCTTTGCCATGAAGGTAAATCTGAATGAATAATACTTTAGTGCTCATTGTTTCTGTAAAATTGGGACGAGTAGTTATACCAGTAAATTCTTTTACGCCACCTCTTTGGTACTATTATAGTAGGTGCCTCGTGTTCTTTTGTAAATGTAAAACTGATGCTTTAGACTTTTGAAAGGCTAACACATATTTCAAGCTGTCCTCATATAATTTGCATGTAGCTTCCTTTTTATGGTCCCTTACAGGGCACTAGATCTTTCTGCTCCTGCACTTTTTTAGAACATAAATTGACAGTGTTGAACTATTCACAAGGTCATTCAAAAGGGAATAATGTCAGAAGCTGAACACGGCGTTATACATGATGAATAAAGGTAAATAATTTGGTGATTAGATATAGATGTGTCATAATTCTGAGGTTTTCAAAGTGGGAGGCGGGTTTCCCCAGTGGGGCTCCAAACTGTCTCAGGGGAGGCTCAGTGAATGGAAGTGAAAAAATACTACATTAGTTATCAATAGAAGATCACATAGAATAGCCCATGTGTGTGGTTTGGCTAATGAGATAGTTCAGAGATACAGTAGTTTGGGGGGATGTTAACTGACTTTTCCACTTTCCCAGAGTCAAAAACTAATAAAACCCTGACCTTCTTATTTATTTGGTGTAGACGTAAGTTATGTCAAACAGTAATATTTGGTTATCTTGGCAAAATTGTGCCTTGTGAGGTTAAAACATATTTCAAGCTGTCCTCATGTAATTTGCATGTATTTGTGTTTGCATGAGGCTCAGTGAATGGTAGTAAAAATTTATTACATTAGTTGTCAAAAGAAGATCACATCGGTAATGAGATAGTTCAGAGATACAGTAGTTTTGGGGATGTTTACTGTTTTCCCTTTCCCAGTGTAATACATGCCTGTCCTTTTTAAGTATTCGGTGTAGTCTGAAGTTGATGTGAAATAGTAAGCTAAATTAAGCTATCTTGGCACAATTTTTGAGTGTCTATGTGATCAATTAACATAATCAGGAATCAGGAATTGAGAGAAACTGGAGGTAAACTACTGTGAGGGGGCACTTTTTTACAAGCTTTGTCTGAGGGGAGGCCCACAGTTTCAGACTTTGAAAACCCGTAATCTACAGCAAATATGACAATAGCAAAATCCTTAGGTTTTGTCTTCAGGTAAAAATTAAAGATTTCTCTGAATGTGAAAGAAATACAGTTCACATAATAGGACTGGTGTTGAAATTACTTTTCAGTCACGCTAAGGACGAAATTAAGTGAGTGATGAGTGAAGTCTTTATGAAATTTATATTCAGGATATATTAGGATAAATATTATTATATAAGTTCTGAGGAAAAACCTGTAAGGTGATCTTACTGGGCAAAACCTGGAAAAGCTAATTTTTAAAATGTTTTTGTTTTTTTTGTAATTTCAATCCATTTAGCAGAAAACCGCTCCAAATGAATATATTCAGTCATGTCTGGAGAAAGAGCTGGAGCTCTCCAACAAAATAAACATTTATTTATTTAGACATTTTCTGACAAAACAATGAAATCCAACGTTTATATTTTTCGTAATATCCGGTGTGAACGTCAGACATCCTGTCTTCTTCCTACGAGTAGCGATAGCACAACAATGGCGTCCTGTAGTGAGGTTAGTACTTTCTCCATTTTAATGTGAAATTACCCAAAGTATTTGATGCTGTGGCAGATTACAGTCGAGTAATATGATTCCTTAGAGAGCGATGTTTCATTTTGCCGGCGGAGTATGAGTGTCTGTTCCACATTTGTTGTTTGTTTACAATCTCATGTTGTTGTGCTAAGCTAACCGATGTTAGCGAGTGCTGAGTAACGTTAGCTCGTCACAGACTGAGACATCCTTTTCCTTCGCTGTATATTTCTGCCACACATTTTCTGCCATCTTGTCTTTGATGCAAGTCTCGTTTTAAGTCGTGTTTTCCATAGTGATAATGTCGTTATTTCCAGGAGTCTGTTACAGCCGCTGGAGAAGAACAGACGGACGCTCTTCCGTCCCAGAAGAGAGAAGCGAGACTACGAAAATTTCGAGAGTTACATTTCAAACGGGTGAGTTGTTTAACAGTTATCAATCTTCACCTGACTAAAGCTAGCACATTTACGTTATGGAGATAAGCGTACTTTCTAGTGCTGCCACCAAGTTGTTTGGCTTTGTGATGGTGGTAAGCTGGACACGCAGCTGTGAAAAACACCAGGAGCAATGTTAATGTTTTAGTGTCAGTTCAAGAAATATTAAAGAGGTGGTATTATGCACATTTTCAGGTTCATAATCCTATTTAGGGATTGTACCAGAACAGGTTTACATGGTTTAATTTTCATAAAACACCATATTTTTTGTCATACTGCACATTGCTGCAGCTCCTCTTTTCACCCTGTGTGTTGAAGGTTTCGTTTTAGCTATGGAGTGATGGGCCCAATCCCAATGTCCCCCCTAAACCCTGAACCCTCACAGACTTTACTGACGTCACTTGGAAAGTGATTGAGTTTAAGAGGCTGCAAGGGCTCAAAATACAGGAACAGGACAGCCCTTTGCCACTTTATCATAGGGCTGGATGATATGGCCAAAAATTTTATCACAACAAAAAGTTTCATATCTTTCGATATCGATAATTATCACAATAAGTATCAAATAGTTTATTCTTTCAAGTTTAAAGGCTGATTTTTGCTCCTGAGTGAAAGTTGAAGAAACCTGATGGTTAATTGTGGTTTAAACTTTTCTTTATGGTCAACACTTGATGCCAAACATTGGGTCACAAAAAAGTAAAACCTTTTTCAGTCCTTTTCCCTCAACAGAATAAACATCTTAAGAAAAATTAAGTCCTAATTCGTGTATGATTCAAGTGAATAAAATCATTTATTGAATATTTATTGAACATTTGTTATATTGTTATTGAAAAAAATTATATTGCGATAATTATTGTTATTGTTTTATTGTCCAGCCCTACTTTATCATGTTACCTTGACGACGCTGAAACACGTTGCACATGTTTTATTTTATGTTTTTGCCTGATTTTTAAGTCCTGCAGGCTCTTGCCCTACAGAGTAGAGGAGAGGTAAATGTCAATATATATTTAATATTTTATTTTATTTTTAAAATATTTAATAATCAATACACTATTGTTGGTCAAACAGCATCATTAAGCAAAAACTAAAATAAATAGTTGAATAAACTAAGTGTGTAATAAGGTGATTGCATTCCTCTGACTTCATGTGTTCTATGGACCATCTTAATTTAAGAAAAGTTTCAACAATTTTAACATCAGCGTAGTTGTTTATGCTTGTTTGTTTACTGTTTTCTTCTTCTCTTATAATGCGAATTTGCCGTGATATTTCTCTCGCTTCTGGGCTTCCCCTGGTAACCCCCGTGTTTCATGTCATACCGCTATGAACTGTGGGCAATTCCCTCCGCCAAAGTCTGCAGAAATGCGGACTTACGAAAAGGGTCTATAAAGGGCTCAAAATGTCTGCGAGAGAGCCCAAGTGCTCGCGCACTTGACGATTTGACAATGGGACGGCCCTAAGCCCTCACGGACTTCCCGGGAACACGCCTCAAAGTCTGTGAGTCTGTGAGGGTGGACATTGGGATTGGGCCATGCATCTTGTCTGTAAATGATCTTGGCTGGGAGTTGCACATGCGCAATTCCTAGTTAAGGACTACTAGCCAATCAGAAGCAGAGAAGGGCGGGCCAATGAGAAGCCGGTAAACAGGGCTTTGTTTCAGCTGAACATGTACCCAACCAGGTAGCAACTTCCTTGGTTGGAACTATGCAGTTGCAACGCAACTGTTTCCCAAACCCCTAATTTGAACTATGGAGGTACCTAAGTTGGTAACTTACATGGTACGAACCATCGTTAAGCGACGCAGCTGTTCCCTAAAACCATAGTTCCGACGAACATTTGCACCAACTGTCGTAAGTTGCATAGTTCAAAGTACAGCTCCTGACCTGTGGTTACAAGCTTAGTTCACAGTGACTATGTCACAGATAGCAGAAAATGCAATGTTAGGTGGATATAATGTGTTTTAAGCAGGCAATGTTAGATAATCCTGCTGGACAAACATATTTAAGGTGAAGATATTTTTAAATGTAGTTGTAAAAGTACTTTTTAAATGTATTTGTTGGGTCATGGGTAGGGTTGCATTATTTCAGTACTAAGTAGCCTATCTGTAGACCATCTACGAACAACAGGTGTTTTTCTCACAGATTACCCATCTGTTCACAATATCTTCATTTAATATTAGTCACCCAGTACAAAGGTTAAAGGACAAAACGGAGAATGTAAAGACAAGACTTTTATTATTACCTTAATGTAGGCCTATATATTTCCAGGCCTCTAAGGAAGATGGGTGTTCTCTAGTCTTCATTACAAACCTAAATATAAAAAGGGACCGCATACAATCCATGAAAGTACTGTAATGAATAAATCTGAGAGTTTTCATTGCCTTTATAACAAAGACAAATAGAGAACTCACAGGAGTCGAGCCCATGTCTATCTCAATAGAGAAAATGCGTAAGCTCAGACACTTATCGTACTGAGCTATTCTCAAGACTTAGATATCAGCTGCGGCCAAGATAGATCACGATAGTGTTAAAGTGTTGACACGAAGATACTTGCAGATTAAACCTGTTTTACTAAATATCTTGTAATCGCAAATAGTTAGTATATAGTATAATATAGTTTTTCTTGTAAGTTATAGACTATATATGTAGGCTAAATAAAAGGATTAGGTTATATATTATTTATGTTGTTGATTTCATTAATACTATTGTTTTTTCTTTTTATTGTCGGTATGACTATGATATGAAAAGCCTAAATAATAAGTTAGCATAATAATGTCACTTAATATTGGCCACAACTGACATATTTAGGCAGAATATGACAACGTTTTGTGAGTTTCATGCTGTGAAAGTTAGACGAAGACACCTGGAAACATGTTAGTTCAAATTACATTGGTTCAAACTAAGTTAGTTCAAACCACTGTGGTACCAACAAGGTACGACAGTTTTGGGGAAACGGTCATACTTCAGATGTTTGTTGCATCATACGGGAAACGCACCCCAGCTTGGCAACATAGACTGGATCAAGAGTTTCAGAGTGGTGAGTTATTAATCTGCAAAAAATGTATTTTCATGCATAAAGTTTTAACTGAGCTCTGTCTCTACATCACAGTAACAACTTTGTCCATTGACTGCCTGGAGGGTAGCTAGTGTTTGGAAGGGAGAGGAGGTGTGTGCTGCAGCGTTCAGGTAGACCCCCTTGCAAACAGCTGCTTGTACAACATGTTGACATCCATTATTTTCCACTTTAGAATGAAGCCCGCAAGCTCAATCACCAGGAGGTTGTGGAGGAGGACAAGAGACTGAAACTCCCCGCTAACTGGGAGGCTAAGAAAGCCCGGCTGGAGTGGGAGCTCACAGAAGATCAAAAGAAAAAGGTATTTGAGTTTAATATTCGTAGTAACTAGAGCCTGACCGATATGGGTTTTTGGGGGCCGATGCCGATATTAAAGTGAAAAAGAGCCGATTTATGAGCCGATATTTTGATTTTAAGAATGATTTGGATAGTAGATCCCTTTACTGTATAAAGTACAGTTAGAACAGGCCGATATTGAAAGCTCGCATGTACGTGGGCTATAAAAGCTTTTCCTAAATGATTTATGTTAATAAAATCAATTACAGTTCACAAAAAGTGAACATGTAAAGAATTGCACATCAATAAATATTTGTTGCTGGAATGTGCAACTTTTTCAGCTGTCTGTAAACAGACTGTGAGAGAGAATAAGCGTGCCTATTTCACTTTACACATAATCTGCCATAATTTCAATGTAGCACATTCATGTCTAGTTCATCCCTTTACCAGCACTCTTTAATTCTAACCAAAGCTACGTGAAACCATTTAACCACCATCTGTCTAAATCATGCCGTCTATCATACAGTGAGCTGCTGTTGAATGCATCTGAAACAACATGACTCTCTACAACGAGGACCTGCAACTTTGAGATTTCATTTAATTAATGTTATGACTACAACGTCACAAAAAGAGGAGCTACAGGAAGCCGTGTTGGATTCTTGTTTAGCTCACGTTTATTTACACGTCCGCTCTGGTTTAATCATTTCAGACACGCCGACTAACTGCAGACAGGCGGCTCGCAGATATATTTAGAATAGGTCAGAAACTATAGTTGAACAGCTCATTACGACGTTGGCGCTCCTCCACTGATAAACACGGCATTAGCTTTGTGGCTAATTTAGCAAGCGTTAGCTGCTGTAACGTTACATCATTTTAGAGAATACTTAGAAGTGATGAACTACAGACAAATGTGAACCGTTCACTAGAACAGCCACACTGTTTGAGAATAAATCTACAGTTACGTCTGTCAGCAGCTTCCAACACCCAGCTACTATGACATTAACCTGCTGTGAGCTGCTAGGAAGCCGGGGGAGTGCAGTGAAAAACGGGAGGGTTAGCAAGTCATGAATGTTTTTAGGAGAGGAGAAGTGACTGGGTCTATTTTTATTATAATTATTAAAGTCATGTAATTAACTTGACAAAAGACCGACTCACCGCTAACACAGCCCTCTGCTGTTTCTAAACGCTGCTGTAAACTCAGGTAAACTCCGGTCAGCTGATTTGTTTTCTTCTGTGGTTTTTGTGGGGAGGCAGTGTTGTTAACAGGGGAGCTGCAGCTGGTCACCCTCTGGTGGGCAAACTATGCAACACCCATGACATGAGTGAAGGATCTGACTCTGTTTCTTGTTTAATAGTCACATATCTGCCGTTATAAACGGCCGATGACGAATAAAGGCAATCAGCTCATATCGGCCGATAACATCGGCTGGCCGATATATTGCTGAAGAGGAAGGTTACCTTGGGGATAAATTGTCTGTACCGGCTATACTGACTGACTGCAATTTACATGCGTACAGTCAGAACCTAGATTTTATATTAATGCTCCCTCTAAGAGAAAAATAATAATGATTCAGTGGGTGCTCTTGGAGATCCCAAAAACCTTCACCAGTAAATTTTGAATATTGCCACAGACCTAATCTGGGGACATGTCTGTGGCGATTCAGTCGCCTAGATCATTGTTATCCAAAGTGGGTTAAAATCAAGGGCAACTGGACTTGTTATTTTTAACCCACCTTGGATAATCTAGCGACAGGTTACTCATGAAATATCATGTCAAGTAGTCGGATACATTAAGTCCAGCTTTGTGTGTATTAAAAAAACAAATAATTGGCTGTCAGGAATGTGCTGCCAGAGGGGAGGACTATGACAGAGTGAAACTACTGGAAATCACTGCTGATGATGCAGAGCGGTGGGAGAGGAAGAAGAAGAAGAAGAACCCAGACACAGGATTTGCAGGTTGGTGGCATTTTTTCCAGTTAAGACAGACATGGATTGGTTGCACTTGATTATATGGTACGAGACATGTCATAAAGCGGGAACAAATTCATTAGTGAAAAACTAATTGTCGGAGTTAGTCAGCCTGGTCATCTTTTTGTGTGTTTTTAACTCAAAATATAAGATCACAGGTGTGTTCTCAGATTAACTTTAGTTTATTACAACACATACCATGAAAAGGTGTTTTGTCATCTGATAAGTCCTTAAACGTATTATACTGTTACTTCAGCTGGACTTCGTGGATTGTATTTCATGTCTCACCAGTACATTCAAAGTGCAGTGTGTAAGATATGGCCAGAATATCTGTTTAAGCATTTAAAAATTAACTAACAACAACAGAATGTGAAGAAATAACTAACATTATGTCAAAGATTTATGTGTTGCAGAAATATCTGCTGAAGTTAGCATGCTAAAGAGTTAGCCTCATCCTGTCTTGTAATGCCACTTTGCACCTCAAGAGGCGATTGTCCGATAGTATAGCTCAGGCCTCCCCCAAAACCATCTATCTTTGTTGGTCTTTCCACCTTTCCAGTAACCATCAACTCTGTTGGTAAAAATATTCTGGCTCTACTTGTGACTCTTCTCCATCGTCCCTGGAGTCCTGGTCAGAGCCGCTGTAAACCACCTCTGTACTGTATTCCCTGTCATCAAACTGGCCTCCGATGCTCTCAGAGGCTGTGTTTGGTCCCGGTTCACTGGGAGGCTGCTGGGCCTGGTTCCGTTACACGTAGGTTTTGATGCTCATTCCAGACTCAGTCAGCTAACAGGGCCGCTAAGTTAGCCGCACGGCTGTAGTTAGCTGCAGTTGTGACCTGATATGGGATATGCTGCCTCTATTTTATTTTTTTTAATTGTGAACTGGTGAGGTGGAGAGTTGGGGCTGCCCCTGAATAGTCAAAGATTCGATGCTTCGATAGGCAGAGCCTGATTTGACTGCCAATCTCAGTCGAATCATCGCAGCAGCGTTACGAAAGGAGGATCCACATAGAAGTAACATTTTTCTCCCAGTATGTTAATATACAACCTATTATGATGTAGATATCAATCAATAATGCTGTACATAAAAATGGGTGTGTGTGTGTGTGTGTGTGTGTGTGTATATATATATATATATATATATATATATATATATATATATATATATATATATATATATATATAAATAATAATAATAAAAATAAGTGCATGAATAAATCCAGAATTGTAACCCTTAAGGTAGGGAGTGTCAGTGCGGGTGTGTGGCAGAAGAGGAAGAAAGAGGTCGAACACGTGACTGTCAGGGACAACCCTATTGAGAGTAGTCTCAATTCTTACACATTGTACCTTTTAAACAACACACACATTTGTGCTCCCATTTAGTCTCACTGATCAGCATGCACACAAACATTTCAGCCTTGTGGTGGTAAGAGGAATAAGGCTGCCATCTCTTGATTATTCACCACATGCTGCCGCCAGCTGTGTGACTCAATTAAGCTCGATGTACAGACAAAAGACTGCGTTCTTATTTGGCTTTCTTAAATACTTTTTCAAAATTTAAAGCAAAATCTACACTGATCTCTTTATCGATCTAGAGGAAATTTCTGTGCCTTTTGCACCTCGTGTGATCCAGGTTGGCAGTCATTATTTGTATCACACTGAAGTGGGTTTCACATGCTGATTGCATTGACTGGAGAATTTTAAAGTCACGTCAGCAAATAGCGATTGGATCAAAAGGCTTTATTTTTAGGCATGAGTAACCCAGCCCCTCTGTCACGCAATAGAACCTGAGTCTATTCATTTAGTAAAAAGTAATTTAATACAGTTTACTCTAAACAAGTGGTACTCCGTGATTCTTGTCTACCATTCTATTCTGCTGTGCCATGGCATGTGACCACTTGAAGTTTTCCTACTTTATCTCACAGTGAAAAGTTGCTGCCTAAATCCTCCACAGCAGCAGCGTATAGGGCAACACTGGTTGCATGTAAGGACCCCTTGGGATATTAATCTCTAACTGTTCCTGATTTAATCTACTGAAAGAAGACTTGCTGTGTCTCCTAAATATGGCTGCCATCTGTTGTATCAAAACCTCCACTGAATTAAAAACTCTGGGGAGAAAAGTATCACCAGAGGGGGTTCGAGAGTGGAAGGGAGGAGGAGAGTTGCCTCTTCATCCCCCTTAACCAGCCGCAGGTTATGTTGCTCAGTCTTGTGCCTGCTTGCTGTTTGTTCCAGTAATTATAACCCAGTCTGCGTTTTTTTTTTTTTTCTCTGTCTCACACAATGGACTGCAGGTTATGCCGAGGCCCAATTCCGACAGTACCAGCGACTCACCAAGCAAATGAGACCAGACCTGGAAAGCTACGAGAAACAGAGGGAGGAATAGTGAGTCAACCCTCAGTCCCATCTTCCCTTTCTGTGACACTACTGTATCTGCGCAGCGCAAGAGGAAATGTCCCTTTTGTCCCTGCGTCATACCTGCCAATTTAAATGTTATTTGTGATGTGTTTCATGATGACCCCAATGAAGGCTATAAGCCGAAACAATAAAGTTATTTCTAGATTTTTTTGCTTTCCCACTAACAGGGCCATAAAAATGATACATGACGATGTCTCTAAGGATCCTATTAAGACAGTCACTGGGAAATTTCTAGTGAAGTAAAATAAATTAGTAACAATTTGCTTTGCTTTCTGCATGTTAACTTCCGTACCCCCTAATTTGCCCTGGGGTTAGTGTTGACATAGCTGCACACTCCGAAAATAATTTAAAGCTTTTATATTGTAAATAAACTTAGGCATGCACGCTAAGGTTAAAAAAGAGTTCGGTGCCTGCGGATTTTTCGCTGTTAAAGCTGACGTGGGCTGAACCGTGAAAGATGCAGCGACACATTTCCCCTGAAGCCACGTTATCTTCTCTCATTGGGACAACGATGGGATAGAAAAGTCCATTTTAAGTATGTTAAAATGGTGATTATCTGTGGTTTGTGTGTTTCTAATTGCTTTGCTGGTGCTCCACAGTGGTGAGGACTTCCACCCCACATCCAATAGCCTGATCCACGGCACCCATGTCCCCACAAAGGACGGCATTGACCGCATGGTGGAAGATGTTGAGAAACAGTAAGTCAGTGAAAAACAGACAGTAGAAGAGAGACGCCATATCTTGCCCTGATCATCCATTAATTTATTTTCACTCTCAGCCTGCCCATTAAGTATCAGCCTGGCCCACTGGGCAGACCACTAAGGTGAACCTTCTGTTGCCAGTGAGAAATAACAAGAAGCACTCGACTGGGCTAACGGGCTAACCTCTCATGATGGAGATGTTTGACAAAATAATGAACTGTACACAAGGCAGGTCATATTAGTCATATGTAAAATATTCCTCTTGACTTTATTTAAACCTGTGTGATTTTAACCTTGCTAATTATGATTTGCTTAAGCAATTCGAACAACCCACATACATTTTTTTTATATGTCTCAGAAAGACTGTGGGTTCAGTCAGATCTGCACTGGCACTACCACAAACGTAGCATGCAGATAGGTCTGGGAATACGAGACCATCTCAGTTGTAATAAATGATATGTAGAAGAAGTGAGTCTGTGACCTCTTTGCCAATTTGGAAGAGGGGGATGTTTTGTGTGAATCGGAGCCCATCTGACGTGAGGAAGTCAGCCCCAGAGTGGAAATCCTGATTAGAAGGCAGTTCATTATTATCTGCATGGAGTGATGCTTTTGTAAGTGGGTGTGTGTAGATGGTTTGGCAAGTCCTTATGAAAGCCAAATATAAAGCGCTATAGAGGCCACTATAAAGACACAACATAAAATTATGAAAAGGTGACTTTGGTGTTCATCACATTTAACTTACTGCTACTTCAGACTGATCAATTCTTCGCTACAGAAGTCCCTTTCACCTTTGATTGCCCTGGTCTTTCCGTGAGCTGTTCTATATTTGGGACAGTCTGAGGCTTGTGTTAGAGATGGGACTGTGGGGCATTAGACAAGGATTTCGTTGCCAGGGTATGACGCACACAACAATGCTTTGAAGACTCAGTGAATCAAGACTGGGAGCTCACAAATTGACAGTATTTTCCTCTTGAGTATGTATGTGTGCGTTAGGTTTTCCATCGCCACTCTCCTTGCCAAATTTAAATACAACCCGCCCCCAAAATGATTGCCTGTAGCCAATTACTGTTATTGGATATGCCATGGATAGTGGCCATGCTCTCTTGTGAAATCCTCCCCTAAGCCGCCTCTATTTGCGATTGTCAGGATCGAGAAGCGGGCCAAGTACAGCCGACGCAGGGCCTACAACGACGACGCGGACATCGACTACATTAACGAGAGGAACGCCAAGTTCAACAAGAAGGCGGAGCGTTTCTACGGCAAATACACAGCAGAGATCAAACAAAACTTGGAGAGAGGCACGGCTGTCTAGTGGGTCCAGTCTCCTCAGTGGACGTGTTCACTGCTTGTTTTCTCTTCATTTAGGAGATGTGGATGCAATTCACAGTTCTTGCAGAAAAACAAGAATACAAAATTTGTATTAAAAAGCTAAAATGGACTTTGTACTGTCAGGTGTGTTTTTTTTTTTTTTTTTTTTTTTCTCCATCCTAAAGATAATTCAATTATTTGTAAGATGTGTAATGTGTGGTGTTCTTTGTACAGCATTAGAAGTTATGATTATACTTCTTTATTTTTAAATAAACGACTTCCAATTATCCGGCTATCTTGCACACTTGTTGGTTTTTCTGTGGGTTGTTCTGCGTGTGGTCTCATGACGGGAGACATTTTGAGCGTGAGAATGAACTACCAGCACACCTCAGGGCATGTTTAGCAGAAGATGCCAGCCCAAAAGAATTTTAGTGTAGGTGCACATAGAAACAAGGTCCAACAATAGAGCAATTCAATTTATCCACTATCACCGACATCTCTGTTTAACCAACTTGCCCCAAGCTGCGACATGAGCAGGAAAGCCTTGTGACTGGAGAAGAGAGAAGACAAGAAAACAGGTTCCCATGCAAGTCCACCATTCCTGAACTCCTGCCTGTGTGAATGTTGGGGCATTGCACCCTCTACAGGCAGTGATCTGTGAAGGCAAAGTCATACCAGAGTTGAATTAGTTATATTCTGTTTTATATAGATGGATACTGTATATAAATAAATCTGGATGAGTCCATCTTTTCAGAATAAATTTATGATGGGATGGCACAATGAAACATCTATGTCAATGGTTGTCATAGTGGGGTCCCCAGCAAAAAGGGAAATCAATTGTTATAATTCCATCCACAATTAACACAGACAGAATGTAGGTATGTCCAGGACAAAATGGGACTCACGTTACCTAAGCAACGGATATGAGAGAGAGGATCATTACAGAGACCTGCCCCGTCAACATCCTGTATCAAGCGGGCGGCCCCGTGTTCCGAGCTGTCAGCGCAAGACTCCAACAAGATGAGAGGAGGTGGACTCTTGTGTTTTATGTCGATGATGCTTGGTGCTAAAAAAATGTCAGTGTTTTCCAAATGTCAGACTTTTTATTTGTAGCTGAAAGCCATTTTTATCCTCTTGTTGCTGCTGTTCACATTCAACCCAGATGCTAATTCAAAAAATGCACTGCAGAGCGTTCAGGGTGTAGAAGTGCAGCCTGTGTGTGTATATATATAGTATATATTATATTATTTTATGTTATTTATTTTATCCCAATATTTTAACACAGGCTAATTATCTGTTACGGTCTGTGTGTGTAGCATAAAGGGACTACAAACTTTTCATTATACACCCTTTATACACATTCTGTAAAATAAAACATCTAAAAGCAAAAATCCTATTACATGGGGAGACAAAATTTTATCTAGTGGGGTTCTGTGGTCTAATTTGTGTCAGTGTAGGGCTCCTTGTTGTGAAAAAGTTTAAGAACCACTGGTTTATGTTTTGCTGATGAAGGGTGGGGGAGGTCTTCGATATCTGATTCTGCTCTAGAGCCGTTAGGGAGTGGATCAAGTGTTCAGGTTCATGATATTTTTCTAGTCTTATCTGATCAGCCTGAGGATATTGGCTTATTCACTGTTCACAGATAACTGACAACTTTGATTCTTTGAAGGCCAAGTGCCAGTTGAACCGTGCCTGTGAGGCAAAAATGGGTATGATTTAAGGCTAAACATAAGAAAGTGTCTGGATAAATAACCGTTTGTCAATGGGTGAGTTTCTCATAGACACAAAAGCCTGCAAGAAGCTAAGTGGTGATAATTGTTTTCCTTTTTATATATAAGACTATACAAAACATGACTCCATGCATCATATGAGAATGACCTGCCTGTCATCTCTGCCTGGTAAAACTAGAGAGGACTGTGCTTTGTTTGCATATTATTCTTGTGTATCGAGGAAACGGTCCCATCTCCCTGCTCCAGTATCTCTCCTACTCCAATTCCACTAAGACTCACTGCAGTATGTATCTTATCTCCCATCAAAGTGATTAATCAGAATTACAGGTCAGTTTACAGCAGGAGACACGCAGTCTGGCAGCCAGACCTGTTCAAAACTGTGATTTTACTTTTATTACATCAGATTGTGACATTATCTGAATATCAGCTTGGAAAATCTTGATTCAATTGTATTACTCAATAGATAACTTACCTTCTAGCAATAATTCACTAGTATTTTTAACATATGCCAAGAACCCGTCAAGATTAAAACACACAAGCTTAAGGGTAAGTAAGACGCCACAACCGCAGAATATATCAGGTTACTCAAGAAGGAACATGTTCAAATCTTGTGGAAGCAGATAGCTGATGGTGACTGGGGCAGCGATTCCTAGACGTGGTTTGTGTTATTTGCAGCCGACATTTTGTTTTGTCATAGTAGGAAAATTATTAATGACCCTGCTCTATTCATAGGTCCTAGTAAGCACAATAATGCACTATAACAGGTCCCTGAGGCTAAATGGAATTCAGCCATGATTAATTTTATTATTTACACCAGTGCTTTTCCTACTGTGACATGTCAAAATGTCTTCCATGAAAAAGGCTACTGCACAATTTGATCCAGAGAGCAGAGCCAACTACAAATCATGAGAACGGTGTGGCTCTACTGTGGACTTGTCTGAGATATCATGGTGTCTTATTTTCAACACTTCAGTACTGTAATACAGCAATGTATGGATCATAATTTTAATCTTTTGGGGCCACTGCATCAACTAGCCTAAAGTCCGACTTTGCCATTTTGTGACACCTCATATTTAAATCACCACACAAATTGGAGATGATTCAGAGGTCTGGAAAGAGGCAACTGCATCCACCCATCTATTTAACATCTGTGAAAACATTATCCATGCATAATACTGGCACCATGTGGTCATCAAAAATTGCAGCTGACATTTTCCACCACATTGACTTTAATATAAGCTTTTAATGTTGTGTATTCAGGCACCCTTAATCATGTACCCTTCCTTACCCCATTGGAGTATCTGAATACACCATTTACGTTGCTCTAGTACCCAACAAGTAGTATTGCTGTATGAATAATTACATTTTCCTCTACATTTAGTATCTGATGACTATTGGAAACTTCCCCTCAGGTTTTCAAGCTCTTAATGGAGTTATGGAGTGCACCTCTGATTTATGACAGTAGTAAAAACAAAACCCCCCACTCTTTATCAAATAAATCTCTTTATTGAATACAGAAAACATCTCAATACACAACAAGAGGTAGAGGGGAAAAAAAAAAATCCCACCTGAAAGAACTCGTCACTTCTTCTGACTTATCTGAAAGAAAACCACCATGAAACGCATGTACAAAATATTTACAGTATTTACAGTGTCCATGTACTCTGCCACACTAGTGTGACGTGGAGTATGTGTGTTTGCGTGCGTTGGTTTGGCCAGATTTCACAGGAATCCAGTGGCCATAGGGCTTCCTGCTTTCATAGATGTCCACTCTTGGAGTTACCTTAGCACAGGACGGAGCTGCCACTGCAGGTCTGACCACAGAATTCTAAGGGGACAAGATTAGGACAGATGTTAGAACAGTGTTTTTATGGTGATGTAAAGCAGTGTTGTTATTAACAAACACTTTAGGGGGAAAATAAAATTTAAGTCACTTACATTAATGCTGAAAGAAATCTTTTTTGGGGACATCGTTGGGCTGGACATATCAGGCTCCACATCACTGCTCTGTAAAAAGAAAAAGAAACAGGTAGTTAGTTTCGGCTGTGTAAAACTGATTGTCAAGTGAGCTTTGACAGTTTGTGAAGTTCATATGTAGATTATAGCTTCCATTACTAGTATAGCACTTCTATCGCTTAGATTATTTTTTAAGTGTTAGCTTCAACAAACTGTAGCTCTCATGCACCCTCCCCCCAAAAGGCTAGGCTCAACAATTAAATGAATGCATCAAGGACAGACCTTTACAATAAAAGCAAAAAGGTATATCAAAGTAAAAAGGATGTTTGTCTACAGTGGCAGAATGATGGCGACGTAGGTTTCCCAGCCCCTCAGCACACGGCTCATGTACCAACTTATCTTTGACATACGGAGAGGTGTTCTTCATCTGTTTTTAGCTCTTGAGAGGAATAGTCACTATAATGCAGTCCACACGCCTGCGCTCCATCAGCAAGTGGAGGATTCTGCTAAATAACGACCCATTTCAACTGCAAACATAAATACATTTGTAATGTCAAAATTCTACTGCCTATCTCTATAAAGTGGAGTCAGTGTAATACAATCTGAATTTCCTTTGCATCATCTATGTGTGTAGTTAGCATTTGTCTGGACTCTGTGCATCATATCTAAAATGTGAGGTAATCTACATTGTGTGTGCTTAACTGCAAACCTCTAATTGCTAAGCTAAAACATTGTGAACATTACAAGAGTTTTCGATTAACCTTTCACACAAACACATTGTCGTCACCCAAGTCACATGACAGCCCTTTAATCCCAGGTGCCGATGAGTGAAGGAGACCACTGTCATGTAATCTATGAAGACAGGAATAAATACAGAGAGTATGTGTGTTCCCTCAGGGGTCCAAAGGTTAACACAAGACAGGAAATTCAACACAACACTGTATACAATACTGAGTCCATTACCCATGAGGTAAAGATTAATGGCATTAATGATCAGTGCATTTTTTGTGTGGTATGATAAGTGACTAGCTATCCAACATTCCCAACACCCTCTAATTTACATGTAGTCCATGATAGAAGGAAGGGGAGGGGAAAAAAAAAACCCACACTACTTAGGATCTACAACCAAGCCTGATCTGTAGTGTGTGATGTGTTCCTTGTGAAACTGACATTCACTCTCAAAAGACCCACCTGTGACAAAGTCCTTTCAGGGTCTTGCCTCACCCTCACCTCTGGCGGTGCCACCCATTTGGACTCCAGCTGCTCTGACAGGAGTGGTTTCACACTCTCAGGAAGTTCCAGCTTCTCCACTCCTAGGATCTTCATAGCATTGGCCTTTGCAGCTTTGAGGAGTTCTCTTTTATCTGGGGAACACAGACAAGTTTTGAGAGAAGATTTATAGTATAGTAGATTATATAATTCAATATTTGCCAGCTTCAAAATCTGCCTCTGAGCAATAAGTTACTATTCCTTGTTTTATCAAGTCAACTTACCATCCAAACTCAAACTGACAGATCGACCTGAAGATCTGGACCTTGAGCGGCTCCTGTAGGTTCTGGGTGGGGATCGGGTAAACCGCCTCGCTGCTGTCCTATACCTGTACCAAGGGCTGGAAGACCTGGAACGGGACCTGTAACGTCTGTGGCGCGAGTACCTGTCTGATGAGGGTGAACGGCTGTAGGAGCGAGACTGGGCCCTGCGGTGGCGTGCTGGGGAGTGGCGGTAACGGCCACGGCCATATCTGTGATGGTCGTCACAGCGACAGCGGGATGAGCGTCTGTGGCAACGAGGGTGAGAGCGGGACCTGGAGCGAGAGGAGGACCTGCTGCTGGATGAAGATGATGTTGAGGAAGATGGAGACCTATAACGTCCCCTGTGGCTGTCACGTCCCCTGTAGCGGTCAGAGACGGAGGAGCGGCCGCTGCTCTTGGATCTGGAGCGAGAAGACGCAGGGCTGTCCTGGTCAAAGATGACATGGATGCCGTCACTCTGACGAGCTTGGGCCATGTCAGAGAGAGTGTCTTTTCCCTTGGCCATTGTCTTGCTTTCTGGCACAGGCTGAAATGGATACAAAAGTCTGCGTAAGTATTTCGAGAATAAATTTTTACAGTAATTAGTAAACCTTTGATGGACTGACTCCATGTTGGCCTAATAGCAATAACGTGCGTCATTACATGTTTTAAAGATGTGCTTTCATAATCTGCCACACCTGTCTGTCTATGTTTAAGCCTGTGGCTGCACATAAGTTGTTTTCTCAGTGCTGCCCCTAGCGAGCAACGTTGCTGAAACTCGGCTGTTGTGTAACTGCAGTTTCTGGAAATTTCCACAATGACGCAAGCTAAAGATAGCTTGACTAGCTTGTGCTAATGTTCGTTTTCACTCCAAATGATTTTATACTTATTTGTTACGTTTATGATGAAAACACTATTGACAAAAAAAATTAAAACTACATGTGCAACACCTTAATATTCGCAAAAGCAGATTAAAAGCGACGTTTACACGTATTGTAGATTGGCAAAACAAAGTAACGCTAATGCTAACTTAGCTGACGTATTTCTTACCAGGTCGAATTGAATCCTTTGTTCTGATAACGTCGAAATAAACGATGTATGTCGAGAAAGTCGTCCTCTAAAACAGATCACCAGACATTAACTTGTAAATCATAAATATGTTGCTCTCTTCGCTTCGAAGTTGTAGCTCGTGCCGTCGTCACTCGAATGAAGGAGAGGTCGGTGGAGCAACTGGCTTTAAGCGTCTCTGGAAAATTCCACTCACGTGATGTTGCGGACGATTTGGTTCTTTTGAATGAGTCGCGGTCTTAATGACTGTTTGGTACGAATGAATCGAGTTCATTCGCTCTGGGCTAAAGTTATTACTTTTTAATTTCCACAATATTTATTATCCAAAAGCGACCCCATGTACCCTCATTATCTACTAATATCTACCTGGTTTAGGGAATTAAGGAAGCCGATACCACATCGGCTCGTTCAGACTCGGAGTTGTTCAAAGCAATCCAATCATTTGGCCCGACAGAAACCAGCAGAGAAGCAGAAGAGGTTGGATCCACTTTTCCAAAACAGAAGAAGAAAAGAAAATGTGCTATAATGCTGAAAAAACCTTCACTGTCTGTTGTTTCTTCACACCTGTTGTGAATCCATATATTATATGTCCCACATAGTGGAGATAAGAAAAAGCATGTAGTAACGCATGCATCAGTAGCTTCCTATCATAGACTGTATGATCAGTCGGCATGTTTGAGAATCAGCTTTATTTGCAGGTATGTGTACACATACGAGGAATTTGACTCTGGATCGTACATTGCTCACGATGTGCAATAAAATCAGACAGAGACTACCATATACAGAACACATAGGCTATATAACCTCCACACTATAAAGAAAAACAATAGACAGATCGAATAGTGTCCAAAGGATGCATATGATGGTGGCTGCAAGTGAAGCCGCAGTTAACCTAACATCCTTATATGGGCTACCCTTCTTATATACAGTCTATGGCTTCCCATAAGGCTACCATCTCCTCTTATATACAGTCTATACTTAAAGCTAGTGCTCTGTGATCAATCAATATCTATCAATGAATCAATTTAATGCACATTAGTATGGGCAAACCATAGACTATATATAATAGATAAGAAAACAGAAGAATTTCCTTTTTTCGTCAGCTGACCTGCATTCCAGACAGCGTTTTTACCCTGAGCAATCAATCAGTTTTAATTGTAGAAAAATAAAATGTACATATAGGCTACATGAAATTAATAATATTCACAATCCATATACCTCAGACAATACAGCATTAGTAATTATTTAAACTTTCTTTAATTTTAAGCCTAAAAATAAATAATTAAACATTTTAGTTATTATGCTTAATATGCTTATTGTTATGATGATGATGATGATTACAATTATTGAGGGACGTAAGAGGGGGGAATTGTGGGCTGAATTTGATTATGCAACAAAAAATATTTGTGGTATTGCCCTTTAAATGCAACCAAATCAGGCAAGCGATCTCGCGATCTTTTATGTGAGTTTACTTTGTTGCTTCCTGCTTATCCAGTGGGCCATTAATATATAACCTCGCTTATCGTGTTGGTTGCTCGTCTCTGTCCTTTGATCAACGCAGGAGAAACTATCGTGGAGAGATGGACGTTCTGTCTGTGTTGCCGTCCAGCTTTGGATATGTCATATTTACCTACCTGTACAGCTGGATTATGCTGGGGTATTTAGCAGTCAAAGTCGGAGGTGCCAGGAAGAAGTACGACGTTAAGGTAACATTAGGTGAAATTTCACTGTAGTGGAAAAGACTGAAAATAAATAGGGGTAAAGTTAAAACTGGACGCTTATGAGTGTTTTGGAAGCGTCATAAGTCCGTGTCTCTGGCTACTTTGCAGTATCCCACCATGTACAGCGACAAGGAGCAGGTTTTCAACTGTATCCAGAGAGCCCATCAGAACACCCTGGAGGTTTACCCTCAGTGGCTTGTTTTCCAGACCATTGCAGCTCTTGTCTATCCGGTATGTATAATTTATTACAAATAGCCACTGATGGTTAAACATGTGGGAGGGGCAAGCAGTCCTCGTGATCTTTGGCATAAATTCCCTGACAGAAGATAAAAAGGCCAAAAGTCAGTGTCACAGTGATTAAGCATATTTTCACCAAACTGTATTTCCCTGCTGTTTGTAATGCTTTTTTTCTTTGTTCATAATCCCAGTTATCAGCATCTGTGTTGGGTGCTATTTGGGTGACCAGCAGGTTTTCCTATGCCTGGGGATACTACACAGGAGGTAAGCCTGGCAAAATGTTAATGTAATGTGGACAATGGAGGACAAAAGCACCAAAGCTCAGTTCACCCACTATTTTTATGTCAAATAGGGTTTAAACACATAATCAATTTAAAAGACATTATTTACATATACTATATATAATACCATATAGAAGCTCTTAAGGAAAAAAATAGGTAGTATAATCACTTGTAGCCTACTGGTGGCTGCTTTGTACTGATCACTGACTGACTTACCACTGCACTGCTAGAAATTAGGTAGGCCTAGGTGATACAGTTCCATTACTGAACAGTTTAATTCAGTCTTGGAAGGGAAGAATTAATTTTTAATTTCTTCATATAATGCTCATAACATTGTAGCAATAAAAGTGGAAAGGCTGCAGTCCAGGTGTCACAGAGGTAACAGTATAGGGCTTGTCTGAGCAATTTTATTGCCCCTCACCTAGTTTTGTTTAATAATTTACAAAAAATAGCATAACGTAATGGAAGAGATTAGATACATACGTCTGTGAGGTCTAAATTTTGGTAATTGTTTAAGTTACCTGGTTTCATATCAAGGAATACACTGTTAATGCATCTGCAAAATATTAGTGTTGTATAGTGTTCAGAATTTAAAACCAGTGTGCATTGTATTCATTGTTGTTTGATATAAACCTGCTTTGAAAGTTAGCATTGTCCTGTTTTATGTTTTATTCCAGATCCAAAAAAGAGGATGAATGGTGCCTATGGCTACATTGGATTATTTGGCGTCATCATTCTGTCCATATCTGTAGCCTTGCAGTTGCTTGGAGTCTTTTAAGATTGTTGGTCATCTTGTACTTGCCCTTCTGACGTTAAGTCATGGCTTGCATGGCATTTTCAAATGTATCCGCTGTAAAGTAGTTGTACAAGTCCTTAAATGCTCATTTCAAATTATGATGCTAAACATTTTTATATAGACTACTAATTTGATACTTTATATCTTTATATGCCAATATCTGTCATGAATGTCTACTGCATGTAATCGTCCACGATAAAGATGATACAGCTCCACATGTGTTCTCTATAGTGCTCTGTTCACAGCTGCGGGTATTACCATTGAATAATAAAAGTTTCAGCAGCAGGCATGAAGACACCATGTGACAGACACATGATGTTTCAGGCACAAATCTCCCATCAGAGCATACAGCAAAAAGCGTGGGACAGAATCATTCCTATACACATGATGTTTAAATAATTTGCTTATGGTAAGCAAGAAGTCAGCTTATAGTTGGTTCATTTTGGGTCTTTTCGTATATATGACAACATGTGGAAGAAATTTAAATATTTTATGAATATGTTTGTGCTACTAGTTTGTCATTGATGTTATAGAATATTCTTAGAGGCTGATGCAACAAAGACAGGTCTAGCTTGGAGTCATAAGCTGACCATACAGGTGTTCATTGACTTCCAGCTCTAGTTATTTCTCTCATAACTTTCCTTGTTAGGGAGGCAACAGTTAAGGTAGAGACAGTAGCTCGGGTGTCAGGCCAGCATATATCGTTCTCTGTGAATCTTAGACGGTTGAGTCTTATAATAATGTTTACAATAACTTACAGACTCCACAGAGAGGACAACTCTTGGATATACTGTAGATTCCAATATGATATAACATTGGAGAATAAACATCATCAGATAGCCTAGAGGTGTTGTTCTAAAGATAACCTAATAGGGAAACACACAGGAAACTAGGGGAAAGACAGAAACATAAAAATCCTTCAGATTTGGTGTTGCATTCGCCATATTGACTTGTTATATATGCTGGCACTGTATCTGCTCAGCCAGGCTCAATAACCCATGCTCTGTGAAGGGTTCATCCGTCTCCAAAACTTGTTCACACCTGGAGCCTGGCTCACAATATTTCTTCAACAATTGATAAATCACAGGTCTGTTGTAGATATGAACTCAAACAAACAACCGCCACGCTGAGGCTGAGCAGCCTATTTGCACAACTGACATTACTGTATTTGTAAAGAGCACAATAATACTGTTTTAGGCTATAGCCTGATTATAATTTGAACTAAAGTTAGCAATATTTTATATACAGTACTGTATAGTGTATTTTAATTATACACCATGCAGTCAGTTAATTTGTACAGTAATTTAAGTGTTTGAACCAACTGTCCATTTCATTACTTTAAAGAAATGCAATAAATATACAAATGTCAATTCTCATCTCATATCTCATATTTATAACTATTTTATTATAATATAATTTTATTTATATTTACGTATTTATTGTGTTTTCCTTGTGCTTAGAAATATACTAGTTTCGTGACAAATGTACTCGTGTATTCTTTTCAGGCCCGAGTCCAGCATGTTTTGCAGTAATAAAGCAAAATCGTCAGAAGTAAATGTGAAAGTAGACGATCTCTACAAAATGCTCACCCACCGCGCTCCCTTCATGAACTAGTGCTAAGCTCGTACCTTCAATGTAATGAACCGTATATACTATTTGTGCGCGGCTATATTTATTTTTAAAGGATTTTCGTTGGAAGTAATTAACTACGAAGTCGGTTCTGTATAGTTTGGTGGGTGTTTGTAACATAGTTATCCGATATATTAATAACGAGATAGTTGTATCAAACTGAAGAAAATGCGCAGGCAGTACGTTCTTTTAAAATGTATAGCTTTTAGTACGAACCTTTTATCTAGTGGCGCTACCCACATGTCATATCTAAGTTTATGAACGTATTAATTTCCGTACCGTACATAAAGTTACCAACTATACGACTATTTAAGTTGGCTATGTGCTTGTGGTGTCGAACAAGTCGCCATTTTTCCCACAACACCTGAAGGCACCAATATCAACAGCGTCTCCGAGATTCCCTCATCAAATGGGTGTGGATGAACTGCGCATGTGCATGACCAAGCTCTTTGGGAAGCTAAGTCGGATTTACCTAGGGGGTCCAGATCAAAAACCGAAAAAAAAGGTAAGAATCCCTTTGAATGTGACATTACAGTCGAGTAATGCTGTTAGAGAGTGTGTTTTTGCTTGGTGCTACCGTTGTCGTCTCAGTCATGCTTTTATTTTTCGCGACTTCGTAGCGAGCACAAACCTTCAAGGAAATGTTTGCTAGTGCCAAAGCGATGAACAAAAGAATCCGACGACACATCCGCGTTGTTTTTATCTACTGTATGAACACACTTTATGTTTTTACAACTATATAGTGGATACCTCGACAGCCTTGTTGTCGAGTAAGTTAGATGTCACAGCGCTTTACTGTAAAGATGTGGGTGACTTGGTGATTGATAGTTGGTGCGTGATATATGAGCATCATTCTGACAGTAACGTTAAGGCAACAGCGACTGCGCACAAACATGTAACGAAACCTTGTTTTTTTAAGAGTTCTGACATCAGTTTGAGGAGCAAAGTTGGCAACTAGATTGTATGTAACGAACATATGTGTTGTCGAGATGACAATAATTGTATTTCTATAAAGTTTTTGGTGTTGTTTTCACTTCTACGCATTGCTGAACCTAACGCCCTTTCCCAGAGTCATGTCGGGGTTTCTGGACGGAATCCGGTGCGGAGACTGCGAGTGCAATGTGGACTGGGGTGAGAGAAGAAACAGCATCGCATCGATAGCTGCTGGAGTTTTGGTATGCCTCTGATTTTCTCAATTAAGGTCAGATAGACTGGTCTTTTGCAGGAAATGTAGGCTACTCTAAATTTTGTTCCTTGGTTCTTTGCCTCTAGTTACTAAGTTAATTATTAGTGCAGACAAGATGTAGATTTATTACACTTTTGCTGACGTGCATGTTTATACTTGCCACTGAAAGTTAACTGTGGATCTTGTTGCAGTTCTTCACTGGTTGGTGGATCATCATTGATGCAGCAGTGAAATATCCTGACGAGGGAGAGTTTCATCATGCCTATCACACCTGTGGGGTCATCGCTACAGTGGCGTTTCTCATGTAAGTCAGGCTTGTTGACAGTTACCGTCACAGGAAATGTTAGATTCTTCAGTTTGTCTCAAAAACTCTCGCCACAAGGTTTAATAGTTTGGTGTTTTTTAAGCTTAAAGCCCAATTTCCAGGCCTTCCTCGAAGTATGGAGTTGCTCATTTGTAATGGAAATGCTATAGTGGTTGTCATGTGACATAAGTATAGAGTTTCAGTCATGTGATAACTGGTGGTGATATATTGGGAAGGTGGGAGGTCGTTACCCCAGTCTCTGTTCAAGGATGGTCTCTCTGGTGTTGGATGTGGATGGCCTCCTTAATCTTCTGACTCCTGGTTTATGACTTTGAATCTTTCACAGTCCATGCTGTGAATGGTTTTGGTCCGGGGTTCACAAACAGGTCACATGCTTTGAAATTCCATATTTAGGTCACATGATAACAACTAAGTCATCTCCATGATAACTAAGCAACGCCATCTGCTGAAGAGGGTCACGACTTGGGGCTGAATGCTTCGGAAACAATCAGGTTATAGTAACTTGCTAAGCAGCTTCTGATACGTTTGAAATCATTTTCTATCTCATCTGACCCATCCAGGATAAATGCTGTTTCAAATGGCCAAGTGAGGGGAGACAGTTACAGCGAAGGCTGCATAGGACAGACAGGTGAGTATGATGGTATACACTTTCACCATTTCCCCTTCATAATGATGGTTTCCTCACTGGATATTTTAATACTGTCACATCGGGTTTCTCATTATCTCTGCCAGTCTCAACTTGGACCAGAGCATCTGCAGATTCATTCCATGCCCAATATGTTATGATCCATTACAGTTAGGCACGATACGAGATGAATAAATCCTGTTTTTGTTTATCTTAACTGTAAGGAAGCATGGAGTGACATTTGAGTGAGATCCAAATAGGGCTGAACGATTTAGGGAAAATATCTAATTGCGATTTTTCTGCCAGATGTTCTGATTGTTTTTTTTTAAGTTTTTTTTTTTTACATTTTCTCTATTGAAGTTTTGCTAAAGTTCAATATTCACTGCTAGTCTATTTTTGACAGAAGCCATGTCAAGCAGCACAAAGCAGATGAACCAGGCAGAGAGTCAGACCATAGACTGTATATAAGAAATGGACGTAGTCATCATGACATCACCCGTTGGTTTGTGGACTGCCGTTTTGAAGCCTCGAGTTTGGCCGATGGGTCGCTGTCCTGTGAGTTTTTGCAACCAGGAAATGACCAGAAGTGACGATACGGCGGAGCTAATGGCCGTGTGCGGCGCTAGCTAGCTAGCTTGCTTAGCTAGGTGCAACTGTAACTCACGTTAACTGTCATTTTAACAGGGCTGATAACTTTGTCTAGCAAACAAGCAAACAACAGTCTTAAAACTAAATGTACTCACCAAAGAAAGTCAACAGCCAACTCCTAATAAGCTTTTTCAACGGCGCTGGTTAAATTTACAAAGTGCCGAAGGTACGAGTTGGCTCTAGCTGGATTGACAGTTCGCCATGGTAACGACTTGTCAATCATAGATAATCCCGCCCTGAAACATACTCTGTCTATTTTAAAATAAATGGGACCATTATTTACTAAATCAACATCATTTTGTATTGAAGAAGACTTTAAACTAGTGACTGAGACCATAAACTCATTATGAAAGTGTTTACTGAGGTAATTATTCAGGTGAGAAGTAGGGTCATTTTCCCATTATCTCTAATGGAGCAGGACTTTTTTTTTACAACCAGAAGAGTCGCCCCTGCTGGCTGTTCGATAGAATGCAGGTTTCAGGGACTTCCGCGTTCGCATCAGATCACTGACCTGAAGCTTCCCGCTTAAGTCAGACACAGAACCGCATAGAGAATCTGTTCGATTTTCAAAATAAAACGCACACCTTGCTGACTCACGATCGTACATCAACAGTTAAAACAGACAATTTAACTACGTAGCCTACTTAACCATAACAGAAGCATAAAAATCAAGGACAACTGAACAAATAAGCAAAATCTGAATATGTCAGCAAAATCAGACGGGCAAAACGCTCTTATTCTGAAGTGCTCCAACATAGCCTGCAGAGAACGGAACGGGCTCACAGAGAGCTGTTATCCGTAGTTGAAGCACACAAAATGACAAATGTCAAAGTGCAGTCCAAATGTGTCCATTCCTCGATTTCATTTTTTTAAATTACTTTAGTCTATAAGGGTCCACGGATCAAAAGAATCATAACGGCTTTTCACAATAATTACTCCAAGTTGTGAAAACTTCGCTCACTGTCTGCTAACTTCTGTCACACTTTTCACTGCATCCTGCACCTGCTGTTGGAAATGCTTGTTTTCATTACCTTGCTACCTATAAATTAAAAGTTTGTAAGCTGTCTGTTAGAGCTAGATCAAATGAATGATTTGTAATTGATATGTTATTTAATTTTTATACAATTTTGTGCGAAAGAAATTAAAGGCTTGTCCGATATGGACGCCTGTCCCAAATATAGGCAGGGTCAATTCAGGGATATTAGCAAATTAAAACCTGTGCTATTAATCAAAGTTTTACAGGATACAAATAACTTTCTCCTTGGGGGCTGTTTTCATGTGTTAACATTTACATTTACAACGTACATGCAGTAAAAAACAAACCCAAAAAGAAGTGCTGTGTGTGTGTGGTCACCCAGAAACCCACCCTTTCTTATCTCTGCTTGCAGGCGCTCGAGTGTGGCTCTTCCTTGGCTTCATGCTGGCTTTTGGCTCCCTCATTGCCTCCATGTGGATTCTGTTCGGAGGATTCGTAGTGCCTCGTAAGTCCTGTTTGTCTGGTTAGCAACTTGCCCTGGCCGCTCAGTTAGCAACAAGTGTGTTGTAAAAAAATTTGTAGAGACTAAAGAGTATGATGCAATAATTAAATATACATATGCTGCAATGTCTATGGTGAGCAAAATGTTGCACAGTCCAGTCATGAAGAGCTTATTTTCTGTAACCTGTAAATCTGTTGTCTTTTGCAGAAAAGCCTGTTGTGTACCCTGGTATTGCTGTTTTCTTCCAAAATGCGTTCATTTTCTTTGGGTAAGTTAACAGTCCTCAGCGGCGTCTTACGTCAAACCCATGCTTACACTTGACCACAGGCAATTTGTGGAAATATTTTTCTCACACTTCCTTTCATTTTTCGATTAGGGGTTTGGTCTTCAAGTTCGGACGTACAGAGGATCTGTGGCAGTAATGGACTATGTGTGTCTTTATGTCCACTGTACAACTCTGCCTTCTATATTGTATTACACAATATGCTTTAGTGGCTATTCACATTATATATAAACTTTTTTAGCTTTCAAATTATCATGTTTAATTTATATTGTTTGCTGTATAATGGCTAAATCATAACTAAGCACAAATTTTCATAGATTCCTTGAAAGTTTGAATATTTTGTGGCAGTGGCACATCTTTAAATGTGTCTGTTTGCACCCAGACTGTGTAGCCATGTTGTTAAAATGGTTTACAATGTGTGTGTATATAAAAACAAATCAACTGTCCAAATTTCTTTTGGGTATGCTTACTTCTATGGCATCCTTTACTTTTGAACTGTGTCTTAAGTGAAAATAACATGGTACATATTGAGGGCAATAATTCATAATACTGTACACATTTACTGAATGTAACCATATGGGGTTGTTTGTATTTTTCCTGAAATAACACAACGTGAGCTCTGAAACTTGGCAGTTATCTAGATTCATTATTGAAGGCTTATTCGCTCACATTGCTGACATGAAGGTTTCAAAACTGTAGGATGTTGTATGTGTACTGGATATTTGTATTTGACTGCAACACTTGTTCATTTGCTTGTATAACATCCGAACCATGTGTCTAATAAATTAGTCTTATATTCATGCTTCCATATTGATTTTTATTTATTTATTTATTTTTTTACCCCCCTCATCCCACTCTTGCACATATAAAAACATCGAACTACTTTGCACAAAGTACGAATAAGTGTATGAAACTATATACATTGACATGAATGAACACCAAAAATAGTTTGCACTTCCAGGGTCAGTCTTCTTCTTTCTCCGTGTTCTTATTTGCGCACTGCCTGATGGGGAAACTGCAAAACATGAAAATGTTTTTTATGAATTCACCTTGTTAAGGTATAGCACAACAAAAACAAACTAATGTCAAGTGTGTTACTTTTTATTATCACTATATACAATTAGAATAAATAGCATCTTTTCAATGCAAATATAGAATTATCTTCTGCTGGACATTTGGTTGTAAGAATATAAAAGACTTGATTGCCTACCTCCCAGAAAGCCTGATCGTCAAAATATTTCTTGTCTTGGGGTGGTCTCCAGAACTTCCACTTGAGTATGACCCCTATAAATATAAGTCGTTATGAAAGCTCACAAATGGAAAACATACTGTGTAATATGGTATTCATCTACATCTGTGGTTGTCAACTTGTATATTGTTGCAGGATAAAAAGCTGGATTTCACTAAAATACTGAAAACCTCAAGTAAAATGCTTATGTTTTGTCAAATGACACTGTTAGTGGATCTGTTGCTATAGAATACTTGAAAATGGACTTTCTGTCTTGTGCCAGGTTGTTGATAATAGAAACTTTACTAGAGAGAAAGCTCACCTGTAATGATTCCCATGAACAGACTTAGAGTGATGGTGATCAGAAGAGTATAAATGTGAAATACAGCAAACCGGATTGCCCTACGAAACAAAGGACCAGTTACACAGGGTGTCACTTTTTTGTGCGTGTGGGTGTGTCATGTGACGGTTGCATTCTTACGTTGTGTGATCGTCTTTAATCTGTATGAGGAGATGTGCTAGCCATCCCAGTAGACCAGGGAGTCCATGTGTGCTCAAGATGGCGCAGGTGTCATGGCACTGAAATGCAAACAGCATGTGGATCTGGAAAATAAAGAGTTTATGAGCCCCTGTGGTGTGAAGATTATTTCATCAAAAGGGGTATGTGTACATGTGGGGATCAAAACCTTGAGATACCGGAACCCAATGGTTGATACAACTGCAGCAGTGAATCCAATTGTCATGGCCTCCCATGGCTGATGAACCGCCGACATGGAAACCCCAACAGCAACACCGCCAGCAAGCATGCATGACTGCATATGGATCTAACAGAGGAGTGAAGATATATGCCCCATTATAGGCTAAATCATATGTCATGCTACCAACTGTACTGATTGATTAGATATTCTGGGTGGCTTCCATGGTAACAGGTAGGAGTCCTTTCACTCCAGCCCATATATGACTCTGTTCATGATAGAGTATAATGTTGTGTTAACAAATCAAGTGTCATATCCTACTGGGTGGAGTTTTCCCTTGGGACTGGAGAGCACGGACACGGCAGCTGCTGTAACAGCACTGACAGCCAAGGCAAGGTAGGTGCTGCATATGGCCGCCAGCTTTGTCCCAGGTGTGCGATTGTCCACAAGGACTGAATTAAAACTGGGCCAAAACATCCAGAGAAACACAGTGCCTAGAGAACAGAGGATTTCTATTGAGACAGTGAAGGGTTTTGATCTTAAATGTCCAGTGGAAGTATAGCCATCCCACTTGCTGCACCATCCTACCTTTAAAGGTAACATCAGAAAAATAGCCTACTTACCCAATGTGGAGAATAATCCAGTTTTGCTGTCAAATTTCTCTTTTTCAAAACGCTGCTCCGATCCTTTCCTATGCAGGACCCAGGTCAGCATGAGTCCAAAGAAGGCCCCAAAGATGTGAAGCAGCATGATGCCGTTCAGAGGCTGGACCTGTAGAGTTAGAAAACCATAATTATGAGCAAACTTCCAACAAAGATCTAACACAAGTAGAATGTACTGAAGAATTAATATAAGGGTGAAACACAGGATTCAAAGGTGCTTACATTCAGCAGAGTCCGGAGGAGCCATTCATTCAACACAAACCCTGACACCTCCAGCAAGGCGATGAGGATGAGGTGCACAGGGTTGGTCTTCCCCATCACAGCTCCAATTGAAATGAGGGCAGAGGCAGTGCACATCTCAGCAACTACTAAGCTTTATTGAAACATTATTTGTAAATTAGAGCTATGAAATACGTAGGCTATATTATGTTCGTAATATATTCAAAGTGTTGTTGATGCTGTTCAATGCATCTCATTTAAGTGGCATTTTCTTTTGCCACAGGCTGTAGATACTGATTAAGGACAAATGGATTCAGTAGATATTTGTTCAAACAGATGTGTGTCATCAAATTTTAAATGTGGCAGATGCCGCAGGTGATGACCGACCTTCTCAAATTGATCGGGATCTTTCCTCTGTGATACCAGGACTCAATGCCATTGAGTATGATAGCCCATTGGGTGGCAATGACAGCCACAAGGAGGTTGAAACCAGAGCCACTGAAACCATATCGCACTAGAAAAGTGCCTAAGAAGCCAAAACCTACAATCACCATCACATTCACATCCTGGAACTCTGCAAGAGAAATAAAGTAGTAGGCTTTGAAAACTCACATGAATCACCATACAGTCTTATACAATACTGTCACCCAATTTTCAGGAGACAAGCCCAGTCATCTGCTCCTAAAGAACTAGCAACTGTAAGAGCTTATCAGTGCCCAACAGTAATAACTGCGGCCCCTCCCCATACTCCAGGATTCAAGTATATAACTTTGTTATGCTTTCTAAATAAGCAATATGAAGTAGATATTCGAATGAAACATGAAATATCTATATTTCAACAACTCACTGTCTCCTGCCTCTCCAAACTCACTACTTACCTGGGTAAAAGCTGCTGAAGGTAATTCCATCTACTTTTACATTGCTTTCGATCTCAATGTAAAAGGCATATATGGCAATGAACCCTATCTGCAGAAAAAGTAGCAAAGGTGCCAGACGGGAGCGCAGACTTGGTGCGTACTGAGGACCCATTGGAGATGTTTGTTGCGCACTTCTCTTCTAGCCAGGTACGAACTAAGAACGACCTGTCCACCCAAAACAACCCCACCACGGTACCCACCGCCCATACACATCACCCCGCCCCCTCGGCGACACACAACCACCCACAGTGAAGCATGTTTAGCCTTGAACAGGGCACAACCCAAAACACATATTTTCATTTCAATCAGCTTGGCTGTGAAAAGTCTGTCTTGAGTGAAGACTGAGTTTGATGCTTGAGGAAAAACGCTTTATTCGCGGTTTAGGTCATTAAAAATATCTATACATAAATGTTGATTAGCATATTTAAGTGCAATCATTATAGTTAGAATGCAAAAAATGATCTCTTTGTGGCCTGTTTTCTAAGACTAGGCTATAATATAACCATATTTATACAACATCGACACTAGTTAAATTATTAGGCTAATTGAAACTTTAAAAGTCTATGTCATTAAATATATTCACAGACCGCAAACATGTATGAATTAGTTTTATATATTTGCTATGAACATGTTAAGGCCACTGCAGTTAGTCTATAATCTCACCTCAGTGGGGTCGTTATCCCGGGTCATCGATACCGCTGGTTTCTTCCCGGGCCAACGACCCCACTGAGGTTAAATAGCTGAGTTTCCCTGCCAGTCAGTCAGAACTGAAGAAGTCCTTTGGATGAGGGACGAAACGTCTTCCAGTATCTTCAACCAAGTCCAGTTGCCCTTGATTTTAACCTTCGTTGGATAACTATGACCTGGATGACTGAGAATCTTCATAGACATCTATAATAAAAAATAAGTTTTGTTAAAATTTTTTTTAAATATGCCATATCTTTATTAAAAACCCCTCTTCTTTTTACATTTTTGTCATGGCACTTTCTTATGGCCCTAAATACAACGGTAAACAAACAAAAAAACACAGGTAAAGATAATCATATTACAAGCAAGGATAACTGCAACACACACTTCAAACTCACGCGGACGCGTGCGCAAACTATGCACACATTTTAACCTGGTAACAAAACATAGATGGCATAAAGGCCGTGGGGCAAGTCTGCCAATGAACCACACACAAAGGCCCTGATATAAATAACCCCCGTATGTTGGAATGGGTGTTTTGTATCTGGCACAAAGGGAATTTTGTCCCAAAGACTGCATAATGTTCTGCTCATAATAAACAAAAGGAAGAAAGCTCCGAGGAAAAAAAGCCCGCCTCCGGGATCAGTTCATTGGTCAATCAGCGATGCCCAATTTGTCCACAAACATCTGATTGGTTTAACCGGGAGAGCTTCCACACACAGCGGCCCTCGCCTCCTCGCTCTCCCCTGTTGTCTTTGGCGGAGGAGAAGTGAGCGACCGGTAACGGCGCAACATAAATGGCTCATCTCTGTATCCGTCAAAGAGAGAGGCCTCTGCGGATCGATTGATTGGATATACCAGCTGTCTGACAACTGGACGTAAGATACAGCGCGATTTGGGCTTATTGAGTCTGCGCTAAAAGAAAAAGAGGAGGTTCCCGAATAGAGTCCTTTATTTATTTCTTTGTTTCCAGCGGGGAAAAATAATAACAGCGAAATATATCACAGGCACTTCATTTATTATCTCTGTCCGCATACACAAGAAAACTGGATAAGATTACAGTGGTCACTCGAAGGCCAAAGCCAAGGGGAGGAGGATGAAGCGGCGCAATGCGGACTGCAGCAAACTCCGGCGGCCGTTAAAACGGAACCGAATCACTGAGGGTATATACGGCAGGTAACTCATATGGAGCCTGGCGGAGGGTTCGTCCTCACGACACTTGTGGGGGGACACTGAATGGAGATGCTTGTGGCTTGAGAGCTGCAGAACGTGAAACTTCATAACGTTACCATTGATGTCAATGAACTGCCACCGCTAGCTAGCTTATTAACCTAGCTAGCTGAGCGTACTGTATGCTAGCGGTATGTTTTCGTAGTATATTAGCAGATAAGCTAGCTGTAGGGCTAGGCCCAGAAACAGCCTGTGTTGAACCATGTCCGAAGGTCTCTTTCACAGTAACATTGCTGTTTAAAATAAGTTATAACGACGTTTGGATACTAATTAAACAACCCTGACTAGCTACCGTTTGCCTACGCCAGTTGTCATCAGCTAGCTGCGTCAAATTAGCCGGTAACTTACGTGAGCTAGCACCACAGCAGCTTTGTCTGCTCATTGCCAACTTCTCTACATGCGCCTTACTTATTAAGTAATAGTGTATATTAACATTAACTTTAAACATGATTTGATAAGACTGCAGTCAGTCTGACTTCTGACGTGCTTGTGTTGCACTATTCAGTTTGGACAAGTTGAAGTTGCTTATTTGTCCTTCCCTACCACTCCTGACAGGTCCTACCTTCATGTGACTTCCTCTGTGTCTGATAAACCAAACGTTAAAGGCCATTACTTACACACGTGGCATCTAGAACTAGGGATGTAGGGCAGTTCTTGAATTATTGAACAGGTGCCCCCATCACAAAACAGTCAGGCTTTGAGATCAGAGAACACCCCTGCTGTGTCATTTTCTGTGTCTCAGTGCTCTGACAACAAAAAAAATGTCAACTGCGATCAAATATATCTAATTCTATCTATCTAATTACATTGACATGAATTGAATGAATGGCACTAGGAAAGAACCAGCAATATTACACATGCAAGCCTTGAGAAATAAATATACTATAGTTTGGCACTGTTGCCACATGTTCAATGCAGCATCACATGAGAACATATCAAAGCATTTAACCTGTCAAACAATGACACTAGACTCCAGACAAACATCTTACACATATATTGACTGTTGAGGGTAGAGATGAGTTACCATTCTTGTTAACACATATTGCATTGCCAATATAAAAACACTTGTGAAAGTTGTAGTGCATTTGTTTTCCAAAACATCTTGTGTCATACAATTCTTCTCTTAATTTCTTTAGTACCTTCCTGTATCTGAAGTTCCTGGTGGTGTGGGCACTGGTGCTACTGGCAGACTTTGTGCTGGAGTTCAGGTTTGAATACCTCTGGCCATTCTGGCTCTTCATCCGGAGTGTATACGACTCCTTTAGATACCAGGGGCTGGTGAGTGGCTATGTCTGGATTTTTATTATGCATTCTTAAAGGTGGAGAAAGAGCAATGTCTCAGACACAGTCATCTTTTGAACCTTTTTGTTTTTCTCTGCTCAGCTCTGCACCTTTTTGAGATGTTGCACTAAAGTAAGCAAGTGCAGATGTGCTATAATTATGAACATTCTGATTTTCCTATTGAGATGTTGAGTTTTGAATGTCTTCAGTACCATAGCACTCCTGTCACAGTCACTGCATTTACATTTGACATTAAGTGACCAGGTTATTGTTGCCCAGAACAAGGAAAGTATTGCTTTGACAACAGTGTGGTTAAAGGAAACACCACGTGCAGCATCTTTTTATCCAAAGTAATTAAATCCAAAATCAGACTAAACCTAAAATCCAAATAAGAGAAAAGGTCATAGCTGAACTGTTATTGGTTATTTGTATAATTCTGACAAATGCACACAGTAAGACAAAAGTGTGTCTTATACTTGCTGTTGTATCACTGCACCTTCATACAAACATCTTGTTGCTCTAGAATAATTTATGAGTAACAATCTTTAGATATGTCAGTGTTGATTAAAAGATGTTATTTCTTGCCTCGTCTGATTTCTCCTAATAATTTGATTTCTTGTGTGCATTGTGTACATTGACTCTGAGAAAGCCAAATCCCAAACAAAAGGAGAAGAAACATATAGTATGAACATAATGGACATACTACAGATCTGATCAGGCTTGCAGGTCGTCATTGACGCTGGACAGCTTGTTCTTATTGAAATGCATTGTGTAGGTGTGTGTTTGTTGGCGTGTCTGTGTCTCACGGAGATGCAGAAAGAGAGAACCAAACATTTAATATTTGTAACTGTTTTTGGTATAATTTTAAAATGAAATACGGAGGTTAATCACCTAGGACCACATCACTCCCATTATAAATGTTTAGATATGGCAACCAACCCTTTTTATGAACTGGCGTCCAATAGCTTACAGCTGGCTCTTAGCCTCATTTTTTTTTTTTTTGTCTTTCGTAAGGGAATGGTTTTGAGCATGACATAGTAACAACTACAAACAACCCACGTCTCTCTTTGCTGCATGTGTTGATGGTTTATCATAACCACCTCTCCTCTCCCCAACAGGCCTTCTCAGTATTCTTTGTGTGTGTTGCGTTTACCTCGGACATCATTTGCCTCCTCTTCATCCCAGTGCAATGGCTATTCTTCGCTGCCAGTACCTATGTGTGGGTGCAGTATGTTTGGCACACAGGTAAAGCCATCCAATGTATAAGATGTCTTGATGTTTGTTAGTATAAACACGGCAAATGAGAAATTTGCACATACCAGCACTTGATGATGTTTTGCGAAAGGCTCATGGTGTAAATCAAGAACAAAAGATACCTCGTGGCTGTGACCTCTGTTTTGTTTGCACTGTTTGTGACTGTGCAAACAAAAGAAGGATGTAAGAAGCCTTATGTGTATTTACATGATGGATTATTAAGATAAATAATTCTGTAAAGTCAGAGATCACACCAATTCTTAGAACTTGCACTGTTTTGTGTTGTTCTTCCACTTAGTACTTCATGGCAAAGTAGGTGTGAAAAACATTGTGCAACACCCATGCACATTGTGTTATCTTATTTACAAATAGATGGCCTGCTTCTTAGAAATTTGCATGGTGTGTGTAAGTGAGCTGCACTCTGCGGATTAGTTGTCAGTCTGATTTTAGCGGTATCCTCCTGTGTTGACCAAAGGCCAGGTGTCAGATTGAAATCCTAGTGCCAGCTGGGGGAGGGAGAAACACACAGTGGTCCTCAGTGGCTTTCGGAGTCCTTCAACTTCGCTCCCCAGTGACATTCTCATCCATAGGCTGTCACAAGAGTATTAATATCTCTTACCACTCCCCAGCCTGGTGGTGAAAGTGTCTGAGTTTATTGCAACCAAGGAGACAATGGGTAGTGTCTGTCCTGACCACCCTGTGTGCTCGGTGTGGTCTGTAAATGCCAATACAGAGTGTTGAGACCTTTTCTGACCATGTGTGAGAGGGACAGGTTTCTATTCATCAAATCTTCACACTCATGACTAAGTTTTGTGAAGGTGTATACTATCTGCTGCTTCATCAGCTGACATGTCACATCACCTGGTGAATTTCAGTGGTATTTTGGATGGTGGGACCATTTTCTCTCAAACTGCAGACAAAAATATAAAGCATTAGGATAGCATCAAGAGCAGAGGATGGACTCTTACAGCAGGGGTATGACAAGAGTCCATAATGACCTTGCCAATGTCTGTATTTAAAAAAAATTAATTTGGGACAGTCAAATTGTTTTCTACTGGTGAGCACTAGGACCAAGCTAGTAGCATTTGGCTGCTAGCAGGGCTGGGTTTAAATTTTTCCTCAATGTTTTTCTGTCACAAAAATAACCTTAAACTCATTGTTGTAAGAAATAGACATATAAGAACTTTGCCTGAATACAGCACAAAATAATCATTGTCTTATGAAATGCAAAGTCAGCAATGACCAAGCATTCTGCGCCAGTTTCGTTGGTTTTTAGTACTTATTGCTATGGACACAATTCAGGTGGGACTCACAGTACTGATGTTCGATGCCCATTAATAACATGCTTTTGTTGTTGTTTTTTTTTTTTTCCAGAGAGAGGTGTCTGTCTGCCCACCGTGTCTCTGTGGATACTCTTTGTTTACATAGAGGCAGCCATCAGATTCAAAGACCTAAAGAACTTCCACGTGGATTTGTGTCGTCCTTTTGCTGCACACTGGTGAGACACTTGTCTTTTTAACTAGAGGTAGTGGAACGCTGTGCTTGACAGATGTGCTTTGTATGCACCATGCAGCATGTGTCAGCATGGTGCCGAGGAATGGTGTGAAGTAAAGACAACATTATATTAACTAATCTAAATTTTCACACAGCCTCATTCATTGCTACAGACTACATAAAGTCAATAATTTCACATGATGGGCCACATGCCTGTTTTTTCTTCCCTTTCATAAATCTTTCCATTTTATGTCAAAGCTTCAAAGAATTTTATTGTGCAAGTACAAACTATTAAAATGGTTACCTCCTTTACCAGGAGGCAGTAGGTGTGGATACATTTGCTGTGCCATGCAGTTTTGTGTGCCACTGAATTTATTTATTATTTATTTAGTTATATTAGTCAGAAAACTGTATATATTGTTACATGTTATGTGTGTTATTATTAGTTCCTGTGTAACAAACTACAGAAAAATATGTTGGGTTTCTCTTGGATTCATCCCAGGGACTCTTATTATGAAGAGGCATTATAAGGTTACAGTCTAAAGATTTATGAAAAAATCCTGAAAGAGTTTAAAGTAGCACCTCTACAGTGTAAAGGTCTACAATTTTAATCTAAGGTGCCTTTTAAAACCGTCGAGCTGGATTTGGATTTGACAGTGTTAACCAATATTATGCTGTGAAGTTGGGCTGTTACCATACATAATGAAGAATGAAAAGTGATTGATAAATTAAGTGTGTTTTTGCAGCAGTGTTTGCTTGATCAAATCAATACTTTGTGATTATGATGTATGACCAAAGAGTAGACTTATGAGTGTACTTCTTGTCTCCATCTCTGTAGCATTGGCTACCCAGTGGTCACGCTGGGCTTCGGCTTTAAGAGCTATGTGAGCTATAAGATGCGCCTCCGGAAACAGAAGGAGGTGCAGAAAGAAAATGAGTTTTACATGCAGCTCTTGCAGCAGGCGTTGCCTCCAGAGCAACAGATGCTTCAGAGGCAAGAGCGAGAAGCAGAAGAAGGTAAGATTCAAGCACACATACATGCATACTGTATGCATATATGACGCACCTGGTTCAGGAAATCTGAGGCTGACATACACTATCTACTATGACTGAACAATAAACTGACATTTGATAAATTGGACAGATTAAAAAAAAAAAATAATAATCTGCTGGTCACTCTTACCTGCTGATGGAGATGGCAGATCAGGAGGTTCTGAAAAAGGCTGCAGTGCTTGTTGGTGATACAGAAGTGATTTGGTCATGAAAGTCTTGTGTGGCACTGCTCCAGTAATGAAGTGTTGCCCTTCTTTTGTTATTTTGTGGTACATGAATGTCTGATAAAGACAGACAAGGTGTTTGATTTATGTCTTAATTTGTGTAAAGATGGTTAAAATCATAATCATCCGTAACTTTTTTTAGATCTTGTTAGACTTTGTGTTTGCGTCACAAATCTATTTAGTCAAACAAGCCATATTACTCCAACATGCTTTCCCCCCTCTATTTAAAGTCTGTGGTTGTAGGCGCACCTGCCTCACAGTTTAAACAAACACACTAAGCACATAATGATCGTAAGAGTCTCTGGTCATTGGGTGTGATTAGGCAAAGCTCTATTTCTCTCACAAAGTGAGAACCAAGGATTTTTCACAAAGACAAACAAGAAAGATCACTTAAAATGCAACACAGCCTTGTGGATGTGTTGTGCAGCTGTAGGTAAAGTCTGGCTGTTTTACACAAGTAACACTTAAGGAACAAGTGGAATCGGCTGTCAGTGCTCGCTCACACTGGTTACACAAAGTCAGGTTTCAGATATAAGATATGGAGAAATAAACATTGGTCATGAGATGATAGAGAACTTCAGGAGACTCTCATGGCAGTTGTCATATATAAAATGTGAATGCCCTACAACTCCCTTTTTATTCATACAGCAGCAGCAGCAGCAGCAGCTAAAGGAATATCTGAACTGGACACACCTCCAGTGTCACAGAATGGCGCCCCAGCCAACAAAAAGACAGCGGCACCACTGCCGGAGTTAGAGTATAGAGAAAAAGGGAAAGAAGGAAGGGGCGGCGGGGACACTAAAAAGCAGCACAACAGCATCTTTCCAACATCAGTGGACTCTAAACTCCAGGAGATGGAGTATATGGAGAACCATATGAACAACAAGAGACTGACCACAGAGCTGGGCAGCACAGAGAATCTGCTGCTTAAAGAGGACAACAATTCCTCCTGCTCCTCCTCATCCTCATCCTCCTCCAAAAACTACAAAAATGCTAGCAGCAATGCCGCCACGCTCAACTCCTCGCCCCGCAGCCATAGCACTACCAACGGCAGCGTGCCCTCCTCTGCACCATCATCATCCTCTTCCACTGGGAAGAATGAGAAGAAGCACAAGTTAGCTGTTGGGAAGGGGACTGGTGGCTCCCACAAGGATCCCACAGACAACTGTATTCCCAACAACCAGCTGAGCAAGCCAGAAGCACTTGTTAGGTAAGAACCACATGCTCATACTTATTCATCTAGACACATTGCACATACACATTAAGTATACTATGCTATAACATACTAACAAATAAACTACTGACAAAAACCTTGTGGTTACATATTACGAAATTAACAATTTTAGGAACTTAAGCCTTACCTTGAGTGTGAGACCAAATATTGTCTGAAACTCGAGCACTTTTTCTACAGACGTGTTGAAGTTAGGGATGTCGTGGTGGTCTTTGATCCTGATACTGAACAAGACAAATTGTGCTTTCCATTTCGCTGTTAAAGCAGACCTGCATTAAATTTAGTAAAGTAGTCTAAATGTTTGAGTAGCTCTGCGTTAGGGTAATATAGCTTCCATCACAGCTGATCTTCTGATGGTTTCCTGTAATATTTTGTAGCATCCTATGGTATTTTGTATAATATCTCTGGTCAACAGGGGAGTGTCAGTGTGTATCTGATGTGGCAGAAAGGTTTGAACAGGATTTGGACAACCTCTCATGTCAAGCATGAACAGAACACTTGAGTTTAACCTACTTTATCCAATAGCAGTACTTTCTAAGCTTGGAATGGTTTCTTTTTCTTGCATTACTTTCTGCTTCATTCTGGCATATCTTTAAGTGACACTCATTGGCCGGCTGCTGTTTATTTTATGGTTTCTTTATTTTATGCTTCATAAATCCTAGTGTTTTTATGGTATGCTCCGGTTACATTTTGACAGCTGTTGCACCTGGAGCAAAGAAAGGACCAAAAGGAATCGTGCTTCACAGGATATAGCCCAAACAGATGCATCAAAAAGTGCCTGAATCAGCCCCTGTTCTGACCGGCTTGTGACGTTCTTGGCTGTGCCCAGTCTAAAATGGACACAGAAAACCCATATTGCAAACAGATTATCAATAAGAGTGTCTCTTGGTCAAATTTCAAATTTGGTCCCGCCTTCAGCTCTCATCAAAACTTCATGACTTGAATGGTAAACACTATTTTCTAGCACGCGTTACACTTTGTATTTTTGGATTTGGATTTCTGTCATTAGGGCCTGAGGATGAAACATGTGAGGACCCTATTAAAACTGAAGGAATTCTTTTTCTCCCAAATGAGTCGCATTTTTGGTGGCCTAAACGTGATCAAAAACTCACGAAATGTTGCACAAAATTCAAACGTGGTGAAAATTCAGGTGTCATATGGTTGTCACGCATGGGCATGACAAAATGGCTCGCTTACACTCCCTAAAAAACGTTAAACGTTTCAACAAAATGTATGTATGGCAGATGTATCATGTCCAGACCTATTAAAAAAAAAAAGCCTCAAGGTGCGATGACCCTAAACCCACCAGGAAGTCCACCATTTTTAGTTTAATGATAATTGTTGGTCTTCTATGGGGTCTGTACTTTAATGAACTCCTCCTCTGATCATCTTCAAACTTTGTCGTGCAAACTAAAGCCACTGATGGTAAAAAGTTGTGCTGTCTGAGTTTCCGCCAAAGGAGAGTCCGTGGCGTCAAAAATTGATGATTCGCCATGAAACAGGAAGTAGTTACAACTTAAGTGAGCATCTGCACCAAATTCGACATTTTGGCTCTTTGCAGCGCTGACTAAAGACATGCATGCTGGACTTAACATAATGCATGCTGCGCTTCAAAACTTTATCATGTCACGTGACATTAAAATCTCACGGGAGCAAGGTTGCTGCAATCGCTGAGTCCGGAGACCGCAGTGACTAATATATAGAGAATAGAAGGGCCTCCCCTGCATGTAATGATACTAAGGTATGACATTACATTGAATGTGCACTTTTATGCTTTTTATTTTTATAAATCATGTTGAATGTCCTGTAAGCAGCATGTCAGTGTCTCTCCTCTGTTCATTCTCCCACTGGGACAGATTGGAGCAGGATGTTAAGAAGTTGAAGGCAGACCTTCAGGCCAGCCGGCAGGTTGAGCAGGACCTGCGCAGTCAGATTGGCTCGCTGGGCAGCGCTGAGCGCTCCATACGCACTGAACTGGGCCAACTGCGCCAGGAGAATGAGCTGCTGCAGAACAAGTGAGTGAAGCTACTATTCACCCACACTAGTGATCCCTTTTGGTTTAGGATCACTGCTAATTGGGGCAGTAATTATCATGCATCAGTATGAAATAACACTGTAGGAAAAAAGCACTTGTCAGCAGAAAAATCATTAGATAAATGTTCATTTCTGATCTGGAAATGAAGGTCCCTCATTGGTGCAGACTTTTCAATCTCTCTGCACTTTCAGTTTCAAAAGGATGACCAGATGAAATCCCAAAATACCAAACAATTTGGAAATGCTGCTTGGATAAATTCTATACATGTGAAACAGTGATGGATACATACAGTACTAGTCAGAAATACTGATCCTGCCACCCTGTATTTACTGTTTGATAATGTGCTGTTCTTCTATCTGTGTGTCCGCTCACTTGTAGGCTCCATAATGCTGTGCAGGCAAAGCAAAAGGATAAACAGGCAGTGGGCCAACTGGAGAAGAGGCTCAAAGCAGAGCAGGAGGCTCGAGCCACCGCTGAGAAACAGCTCGCAGATGAAAAGAAGCGGAAGAAGTTAGAGGAGGCCACAGCAGCCAGAGCAGTAGCACTAGCAGCAGCTTCCAGGTAGCCGCACACAGCTGACATATGAATTTAGTTTTTTTCTAACCGTTTTACTCCTGACTTGTCATTTGTGTCTTTAAAGTTATGCTTTGTTATTAGCATCAAATAAAATTCAATACTTTTTTCCCCTCCATTCTCACAGAGGGGAGTGCACAGACACGCTGCGGCGGCGAATCACTGAATTAGAAACTGAGTGTAAGAAACTAACAATGGATAACAAGTTAAAGGAAGACCAGATCAGAGAGCTGGAATTGAAAGTTCAAGTAAGGATATTTATTCATTCAATTTAATGCATTTGTCTCTTTGGTTATTCATGTGTAATGCTTTTTGCCAGGTGCAGTAGAGGAGGGGTGTGTGTGTGTGTGTGTGTGTGTGTGTGTGTGTGATGTCAAATGTGCAATTTATTAAGAAGTTTTTTCATACTGCTTAGCGATTCATGAAAGTCTGGATTCCTGAAATGTGAACCTATTGCTCATGTACATTGCCAGTTCTGCATATGTCAGTGCATGCAAACAGCTTTTGCAATGTGGTGGACCAGAGCTAGTGCTGTAGATAAATGTGACAAAGCTTCACACAAGACAGAAGTGATGCAGCAAAATGTAACATGCATATGCATATATCACGATGGGGCATTTCTTACAAGTTTTGTTCCACATGTAGTGCCCCAGAATTAGCTAATGCCGGGGTATACAAGTCAAGTGAACACAGTGTAAAAACTGTAAATATTCAACTTGTTCATGGCAGCATAGACAATTTTTCTAATTACTTTTTGTCTCAAAAAACACCTCTTAATTTAAGACATACCACTGATGAAATAATATAACAATCTGGAATTGATAAGCAGAATAAGACTTTCTAAAATGTAACGATATTCAACTCTAGTGTTAAGCTGCACGATATGGTAGGAAAAAAAATCACATTGCATTTATTTTGACAGATATTACAATTTGCGATATGATTCAGGATTAGAGGGAATAATCATTTTTACATCACAATTTTAAGTTTCACTGAAAAAAACTACAAATATAGTTTATTATATCTGGAGAATGGGATTTGTAGGCAGGGGCGTCTCTGCAGCACTACAGTACTTCATTATAATGCTGTTATGTTACACATTTTACAGTTGTAAAAAAAAAAATAGAAATTTTGATTTGGATATCGCACTTGGCCATATTGCGATTTTGATAATATTTCTATTAGTTGTGCAGCTCTACCCTAGTGTTTGTAGAATGTTTTTTACTAAACGCAAATGTCAGTCTTTATTTATGTCAAACAGAATTTACATAGTGCTGAAGCATCCAGCCACAGAATGTAACTCCCTGTGCCCATCTCTCAGGAACTTCATAAATATAAGGAGAATGAAAAAGACACAGAGGTGCTGATGTCAGCGCTGTCAGCCATGCAGGACAAGACCCAGCACCTGGAGAACAGCCTGAGTGCAGAAACCAGGATCAAGCTGGACCTCTTCTCTGCACTGGGAGATGCCAAGAGACAGCTGGAGATTGCACAAGGTCAGCCTGATTTCCATAAACAACATATGTATTCACACACCTACAAATATATTTGGGCTTGTACCACATCCTCAAAGTTTTACCTTGTGTTTGGACTGACATGTTATCTATTTTCAGGTCAGACCCTGCAAAAAGACCAGGAGATAAAAGATCTGAAGCAGAAGATAGCCGAAGTGATGGCTGTAATGCCCAGCATCTCCTACACAGCCGACACCAGCAGCATGACTCCTGTTGCCCCCCACTACTCCTCCAAGTTCATGGACACCAATCCCTCCTGCCTAGACCCCAACGCCTCAGTTTACCAGCCACTCAAAAAGTGAACGCTTCGTCCCGCCCCTTCCCTCCCTACCATTTTTATTTTTGCTGCAGGCCCCACCACCTTCCAATCTGCTGTCTGCGGCTGAGAACGTTGTTTTTCTTGGGTTTTTATTTTTCTCTTCGCCAGGTCAGAAGGATGTTGTATTGTGTGACTGTATTTGTTGTAGTTAAAACAAAAGACAAAAAAATCAACTTAAAACGGACATCACATGTCAACTAGGACGTTTTTTTTTTTTTCTCTCTTAAGTGTCTAGTGAAACCTCACAGAATCGGGTATGTATCTTCATCTCAAGGGTGTTGCTCTCCCTTTCCCGCCACCACCGAAACCACCTGCAAACAGTTGCCTGCTCTTTGGTCCTGGGGAATAGCTGCTTTTTTATTTTAGGTTGATTTTTCCCTCCTAAAATTTGGAAAATGGAGGTCTCCTTTATCATTCAGTCATTCAGCCTGACTTGTATCCAAATTTCTGTGATGATCTGGATTGTTTTCTCCCAAGGTGTGGTGACATCTGTACAACCAGAGGAATGTAGACTCTCGCCCTGGTTATGTTTAATTTATTATTTTTAAGACACCAAATCAACCCTGCCCTTAGCTGCTTTGGGGTTTGGTGGTGAATTTTAAAGTGTATTGTGTGGTTCTGTTTGTTCACTCTTTAAGACCCGAGTGTTGATTTCTACAGGCTGAAAGTGTTGATTGCAACAAATTGGAAAAGATCTTGTGTTGTAAGCAGAAACCTAGACCATAAGCCGAAATGAACCCAAGCAGCTCCTAATGTTCTGCATCAATGAAAACAGTAGTCTGGTTCTCCCAGTTTTTGAGTTGAAGACAGTCCATAAAGAGAAGTCTGTGTATGTAAATGTACCAGCTTCCCAGTGCCTTGAGTTGAGGACATGGATTGAGTTTGATAATGAGATACAGCCCAACCCTTCTGAATTAGTGGTGAAGCATCTGGCTAAGCTGGAAAGGATAAGAATTTGACCTCGCTGAGTGAAGTGGGACTGAGTTGCCTTCAGACACTTATTTGGTTTTTTGGCTCCGTACTGATTTCCAAACCGGTAGAGAAGCAGATCCGTGTCCACTCGAGGTCAGCTTGGTCCCATATGTAAGTTACATTTAACAGATAAATTAGATACCAAATCCAAGACTTTTCAGTGTACTCCTGTTTGCCTATTGTCAGTGTGTTGACATGTTGTTAGCCACCACAGAGTCTACTGCACACAGGTCTCCGGCTCGTCACATGTCCACTCGCAGAAGCTCATCTCCCCCAGATCCCTCGGTTCAGCTGCTGCCCCCTCGTTTCTTTTTGATTTCCTATTTTTACAAGTTGCACTGTAGGAAACACATTCTGTTTGAAAGGGAAAACTGTAAAGATGGACAGTGCAATGAAAACGAAGCTTTGAAAATGCCAACTTTGATGCAGCATTTATTATTTAATTGATCCTACACTTCAGTTCATGTGCCAAGACTGGAATGCTTGTTTCTCTAGTAGCGTGTTGAAGAATGTAATGCAAATACATTGGCTGACGTGTTTGTCAAATATCCAGTTGAATATCACTTAATGGAATTTTCTGTTAAGCAGGTAAAGAAAGTGGTCACCTGTTTGTAGTAGACTGCGTAGTTAAAAGTAAGGGACTAGAAAGTCAAGTTTCTTTATGTGAATGTTACAGTATTTGCAACTGTTGGGCAAGTGGCTGTTTTTAAAGCGGCCGTCCTTCCTGTTTGTGGTATTATTGTTATTTTCTATCAGGGAGAAAATCGCTGGAGTCTGATGTGGTTTCGCCATCATCTGAAATGTGTGTGTGTGTGTTTGTGTGTGTGTGTGTGTGTGTGGTTTTCACCTACTGTAAGAAGAAGAAGAAGCTTTTTCTTTTTTGGCTCAGATAGTCATTGGCTCCTGCAGGGGGGAAATGTGAAAATTACAGTTTTAGTCAGTTGTTTGGTCGACTGATTGTTGAAAGTATAGAGAAATGGTTTTTGTTTTTTGTTTTCTATGCCCAGTCACTGCTCTGTTTCTCCCCAGGTCTGACCTTGGCTGTGCTCTCGCTCTGTGAGGTTTACAAGGAATAAACTTTTTTTTTTCTTGCAAATTGACTTCTCTCTGCTTGTTGCCTTTACTCCAACCATATGTCTAGATATTTCAAAAGAACTCGTCAGCTTTGACCGAGTTTGTTTTGTTGTTTTACACATTAAGTTCAGTTTATTTGCTGTCTAAACTTTGTCATCTGGGTTAGTTCAGCTTTGGCCTGCTTTACAACTGAAGTTGTGGGGGGTTTAAAAGAAGTGGGAATTCAAGAGGCAGGGGGATGCATTGAAAGACACTTTTGGTTTGCATTATGGGAAATGTAGGATCCAGTGTTTTTACACATACAAGACACTACAATTCAGGATATCTCAGCCTCTGTTGCTTCAATATTGGCTGTTCTTTTATTAATCTGTCCCTAGCAATTCCCTAAACATGGAAGTACAATACTACAACGCTGGAGTACCCAAACCACAACTCTTGTATTTCTTTTTTATTGAGTGTCTTGGCTCTAATTAAAGCCTTTGCTACATTAGTGTAGTTGAAACAAGACAATATATTAAATAGGTGTTGTATTCAACTGTGAATATTTGCCAAAAAACAACAAAAAAAACATCTTAAAACAGTTCTTAAAATAGTTTATCTTAATTCTGACATTGGAGATTAAATGCACCATCATATGATTGCCACTAGGAGGCAGTGTATATACAATAGGTTAAAAGAAATAATCTCACACTCTGATTATTAACTGTCAAGAACCACTAATTCCCTCTTTTTTTTATGACCAGAAAATCCCATTTAGCGCTGACAAAAAGAATTTATGAATAATTTGTTCATGCTAATGACTAATCACAGCTAGTCAAAACGTGATGACCACTAGTGCTCCCACAAAGCTATCCAGCAGCATTGGGCTGGGAGGTAAATGAAATTGGGAGTGTGCACCATTTAAATAATGCTAGTCCTTGATGTGAAACCTGAGTATTTAAAAACACCTTTCTTCACTCCCCTCTTTGTCTACTTTTCAAATTTAGAAAGCTTCACCATCAGGAAGTTTCTGTACTCTGCTGACCTCTGGGCTTGAGATTTCAGTCCGTGATGGAACCATAAAAGGGAGCAAATTATGGGCTGCCACACATTTTGATATGAGAGATAATTTTCTATCTAATCGAATGCACTTGGAATTTTTTGGGAAAGGAATAAAGAATCCCTTTGCCAAGGACACTGAATTTCAATGCATGAAAGAAGCCCCTCTGCTCAGCATTCTGTCACATGCCAGGCTTCCCCCAAATACGCCTGATTAACCTGTGCAGCGAGACAATTGTGCGTAAATCTCCTCGCTTATTTTCCCTGCATTAACCGGTGCCTGGGTTGGGGCATAAATTTGTGTTACACTCAATCCTCAATATTTTATTGCGCTCCTTGTTCCTGTTTGGCATCACCCTGTTTGGCAGAGTCAAGCATGTGGAATTAACAGATTATAATAGGTCCTTTCTAGCAGACTACATTTGGCACAGCTGTACTCGCAGTGCCATTAGGCCAGCACATCTACGGTAAATCCAGCTGTTTGAAGAGAAGAATCCATAAATGAGAAATTCCAGGTATAGCTCTCCTGTTTCCCTTGACCTACTCAATTAACATAAAGTCAATGGGCAATTTTCTTGGTAGCAATACACTTTCCACCCCCCCCCCCACACACACCTTTATACCTGTCCCTCCAGAATCCAAGGACGTGGTGAAACAGATAAAAAGTTTATTGGTTTCATTAAAGCGTGTGTTTTTACAGTGTGGGTGAATAGATGTGTTTATATACTATACAGCCACGGGTATACTCCCATGTCTGATGCTGTGAGCCTGCGAACTTTTGTTTGTCTTGTGTATAAATAAATCATGTGTATTTCGTCTTTCGTACTCCCCTTCACATTGAAGAATCATCCCTGTTGAATGTTGGGCGACCTGCTCACGTGACCCCCAGCCTTCTCCTTTATGTGCAGTTTGATCCCTCTTTTCTTTCCCAGCAGAAACTCATTGATTTTTCATCCCCAAACACACTTACTGTAAATATTACCCATGTTGCTGCTTTAAAAGAATGTCTTGCATGCTTCAATAACTGCCAGATTTACTAGTAGAGAGCGCACTCATTTGTCTCAAGCCTTTCAGTGCAGCGTGGTCATAGCTGACAACAAAGAAACGTGATTTAAAAGGAATGCACCTGCCTCCATTCAGAGGAATCGTTTGGTTAACAGTGCTTCACTGATGAGGTGATAATTCTCCCTTTTTTTTTTGCACAGAGGCTTCAGATTAAATATAGTGGTGATTTTGCCTAATATGTCCTCGGGATATATTAGCCTGTTGCACTTTTGTATCTAAGTTTGACATCTCCTATGAAATCTCGTACTGTGACATTTTTGGAAAGCCATTCTCCTGAGTTATTTGATGGGTGATGATTTAAGCTCAGCGAAACTCAATTCAGAAATTGGGTGTGGCATGATTTAAAATGTTTTAATAATAGATCAAAATACAATGTAAAAGTTTCGGCACAGACATATTTCCTACTTTGAGGATGATTTTCACTTTTCACACAAAATGCTTATTGTCACAAGAAGAACAGTCTGCAATTAGCAACACTACAATATAAATCAAATAATCTAAATAAGAATAAGTTACTATGTGCTATGGACATATTTTGGTTGATACTCTAAAGGTATTACAGTTGCATGATGGTGTTTGCTAAATTGTATGGCATATCTCACTAAACATAATCTAACTGTCTCCTTGCATCACCGAAAACGTTTTAATGCTATATGGGACTATACTGGGACTATAAAAATTGGATCTCAGAAAAATTACAACAATCTGAATTTCGAGGAGAGGACCCATAGGGCCTTCCTCCCTGCAGCTGTTCACTTGAATTATGAGCCATCAGAGCACTTGGGCAGAATATGGGGGATTGGGTTACATACAGTAAAGCAAAAGTAATATTATATTAAGTGACAGGCACTGAAAATTCATTTTTGAGACAATAAATGGGACTGTGGAAACAGAGGAATAGCTTATGTCTTTTAACCAGCTGCCATAAGAAAAGCATCCACAACAAAATAATATAATAATAGATAATGGTCAGAAGTTAGCTCTACCAATGATGCATAATATGGATTTCGCTGCTATATCGACCTAAAAAGGTGAGTCAGGCTGAATTGAAGTATTTCCCTCCAAACTATATCTGGTTTTCACAGTACTGACATTTCCACCTTAACAGACGATGGATTTTAGGAGCGCAATAAAAAGAAGGCATGCGTGGCTACATTAAACGTGAGAGGTCTAACCACAGCCCGTGACGTGACTACCAAATAATTTGTCACAAAAGGCAGCGGGAGTAAATCTGTACCGTTTAGTAACAGGAACAACAGAAACAGCAGCACCGCCCGCCCAGGCTGCCTGCCTTGTTGTTGCAACAACCTCACTGGCGTGATTCCACAACTGAGCGTCACGCGCACATTATCCGGTTAATTTACATACATAACGCCGCCCAGGAGGACGAACATGATAATTCGCCATCGATTGAAAGCTAACAGTGCGGAGGGGAGAAAACACTAGCCGAAAAAAAGTTTGGACGGGAGAAGGCTGTTTTAAACCAAGCGAAGTGTTTCGACACAAACGAACAGGCGCTTGTCGGGCTCTTTGCCCCACTTTTGGATTACGATATGGACGCTTTGAAATCCGCTGGAAGGGCAATTATACGGAGCCCCAGTATCGCCAAACAGTCGTGGGGTTCGAGCAGACATAAAAGTGAGTATTCAGCTGTTTAATACATTAATACGAAGGCGTTAGTTGGTGCTAATTTTGCCAAAACCAAAGCTAACTTGGCTAAACCAAGCTAGCCTCGACAAGGAGCTAACATTACAACCGGCGTGTACTTAACGTCACTTTACAACTCGTCTGCGGAGGTCAGCAGCAGTTGTTGGGGACAAGATAGCTGTCAGTACGGGGGGTGTTTGATAACGTGAGACTTAGTAACTTAATAAACGAACAGTTTCAGATTAGATCGAGCATTTTAAGTCGGAAATGTTTTGTTTATGCTTTCGAACTTGACGCTCAAAGTGACAGCAGCGCCCCGCATCTCGAAAACTGACTCCTGTTGAGGCTCTCTTTCTGCGTACAGAGTAGCAGCAAGTTCAGCCCCTAAAAACTGGTTCTCTCCGCACATCTTAACAAGCCGAATGAGCTGCTCGCTTTTTTTGTCCATCCGGACCACAAAAGCATTTCACGACAAAAGTTTGAGAGTCCTGTGAAATCCTGTGGTTTTCTGCCACGTCACTCTGCCGACGGACACGGCTTTGACCTTTACACCACGGGCTCGGCGGGGGCCTGAAACACTGCGGGGTGGACTGTTCGTGGGGAGAGAAGCAGGGGAGTCACGAGAGTGAAAAGATGAGTGGTCTTCCTCCTGGCACGGCTGCAGGCTACAAGCCTAGCAACGCACTGTTGCTAGGCGAAACACTGAGGGACAAAAAAACCGAGAGGCTGTATTTAAGGATATAAGGAGTGGCTGCGGTCTGAATCCTATAGAGGCTGCAAGTCCATGCCAAGCTCGAATTAGGGTTTAATTATCACGATAGCCACCTTTTAGATTTTACTTATATATATATATGATTCAGCTGCTGCTTGTTTTGCACCCTCAATGTGTACGATCATCACCCAGGCGGCTGAGCACTGACTAGCGGTGCTCTCACATGTAGGCTGAGCCACACAGACCCTTTTATGTTTCCTTACACAAAGGGGGAATGTCCCCTACTCCCATGCCCCCCCCCCCCTTTTTAAATTATTATTTCATAGACAATAGAGCAGTTGGTAGCAAGATGTCACACGTGCCAGACTGTGCAATCCATGCTTTGTTTTGGTTTCTCTGCTCAGTACGGTCCCTCCACATCTGTCCTGGTAGTCCTTGCAGAAGGATAGCAACCAATCAGTCCCAAAAATGCTTGGAGCTCAGGCTGATGGTGATTCTACATTCAACCTGAGGCAAAAGTCATCCTTCCCCAATCCCGCCTTGCTGCTGCCCCCACAAACTGAC